TATTGGCCGCCAAACGAAACTCACCACAGACAGACTGGCTGAGTAGCGGCTCAGCTGCCCCCCGAAATGTAGGCTAAGGGTGTTGGCAGGACACAAATATTTACAGGTACGCGCAGCGGGGTAGCGCCAAAGTAGCCGAAAAAGCTTGCACCACTAAGCTGCCGTACACTGATAATGAAGCACTGAATTTGAATTGAGAAAATAAAGGAATAATTTCAAAGGTATTTATTTTAAAAAATATTATTATTGAAAATATATATATATTATATATGCATATAACTAATTGTTTCAATAATTTATTAATTACTAAAAATTTGTAAATATTCATTGAATTGTTAATTATATAATAACAATTTATTTTCTTTATTATTTTAATTAAATACTTTCTCACTTATTTTTAGCTATTTTCAATTTGTCGCTTGCACTTTTAAGTCTGGCAACGCTGCTGGAAAGCTTGCATTCCTTTCGCTCTCTCTCATCCAAGCGGAGCTTTTGCGTGTCAAAACAAAAACCTACACACACGTGTACACACACACTCACATAGATGCGAGCACATGTCAATGCCGCTTAGGTGGGTATCACTACGATTTACAACTGTGGTGAATAAGGAAATATTGCTGTTGCTGTTGCTGTTGCTGCTCCGACCGCGTGGCGCGTGCGAAGAACAGAAGCAAGTAGTAGGAAAAGCAAGAGAAAGAGGAGAACAAAAAGCTAAGGCAGCGGCAGCGGCAGCGGCAACAGCTTTAGGCACAACAACATGCAAAAAAGGAACGACGAAAAGAATGCAAACAAAAATTTGCGCTTTTACGATGGTAAACGCCATCATTAACATCGGCGTCATTTCAGCGGGATCTGGCATACCCCATCATTGTCATCGCCTGTGAGTTGTTAGCGTTATCTTCTTGCTCTGTTTCTTAGCCTTTATGTGGGTCGTGGTGCTTAGGCTTAGGCAAAAATACGAAGGCAAACGCAAAGGCGAAGGCGAAGGCTCGACTATTGCCCGTATTTTGGCTCTGTTTGTGCAGTTTTGGCTCGCTACGCAACAAATTACCGAGCAGTTAAGCCACTCGGCACAACGAGGCGTATGCGTAATTATAATTGAAAATTTCGTGCCAACGTTTAATGAGTTTCTAAGTGCCTAGCCACCGCCATAGCCATCAACTGTTGCTGCTGCTGCTGCTGCTGCTGCTTTACAAATTGCTATTTGCTACACAATATTAACCTTTTAATATAGCCCCAGATCTATTTGTCAAGCGTGAAAGTACTTTTATCTGCTGGGCTCTGCCCAAATGACAAGTGGCGAAAGAAAAAGCCAAACACTCGCAGAAGGCTCTCAGTTAATCAGCTTAGTTAAAACAAATAACTTTAGTTGCTTGGGACATAATTAAATTCGAGTTAATCGCATTCAGAACTTATCCGTTAATCTCTTCTACTATTATGTGCTTTCCATGATGAGATTTAGTATGCATTTTATTGTTGTCCTCAATCATATATTTATTTTTAAATTTCAATATGCTTTATATAGCATTTGAGGGTAAAAGCAGTTACCCGCATTTAGCTTGGCCAACGACAGCTGCTGCTGCTCTGCTCACATGACGTATGCGCAATATTTTTGTTGCAATTCCATCACGCAGTCGAACAAACTGCGCTTCAGCAGATGACGCACGAATGTTTGACATAAGCACTCGCATCTATTTTCGGCCCAATGCAATTTCAAGAATAACTTTGCCATTCTTATCAGTAGCAATCAAATTAAAATTAGTCACAGGCAATTCACATGAAAGGTGAAACGTCATTTAAAGAGATATTCTTGAAGGATATGAATTGTGTTGTCAGCTACCGGCTGGGAAATGTATTTAATATGCTTTCCTGATTTCAATAATTTATACCAAATGAAATACATAAAAAAACACATATTCTTTTCTTTTTTCAGAAATACTTTGTTTCAATTCATTTTGGTTCTTTAAAACATAAAAAAAAATATGCGTTAATTTCGTTAATTTTAATTTAGCAAATCAGGTTAGTTGTTTAAAAAAAATCTTAGTAGTGCATATTTCTTAATTAATTAAGATATAATAATAAGGATAAATTTAATGATGATAAGCAAAATTTAAACGTATATAATATACGCCAAAATTATTATTGATTTATAGGTTGATATTTAAACAGATATTTTTTCTTTCATATAAGATAAGTTCACTGGTTTTATAAATATTTATTCTATTTATTATATATTTATATTATACATTTATTAAGCAAAGTTGTTTATAAATATATAAAATTTATATATTTAATGCACATATTTTATATATACATATATGTATATTTATTTTTATATATATTTATTTTACATTTTCTATTTATAAATATAAAATGTTTAAATATATTTTAATTTATAAATATATATTTCTTTACTTATATTTCATATGATTTTATCAATTAAAAAAAAAAAATAAAAATAATATTAATAATTTTAAATTAAATCTTCTAATTCAAATATTACTTTATAATGGACAGCAATGTTTAGTTTTGACGTAACTCATCTAAATTTTACTCTAATAAAAGCCCATTAAATTTGTTTTCTGTTTCTAGTGGCTATGACAGTCAGTGCCAAAATTTGGTGCTCTACGTTATCCTTGCGCAATTAGCTGGCCATGTCCTGCTCAACCCAAACCGCCAGACCTTGGGCACTGCGTTGATGACCCCATTTGGGGAACACTTGTATCTAACAGCGTTCAACTGGCAAATGGCAACGGGCAACTGGGTGTCATTACAAAAGTAGATTTGTCTGCTAATTAGCTTCGTTATGTTGATTAATGTCTTGGGCAAACAAATTAATAATCAGGCGTCGTTTCGGGGTAACCTAATGCCATGAAAATGTGTTTTGTTGTGTGGATACATTTTTTAGTGGAGCAGCAACTGTTGCGGCCTGTTGATTGAATTATCATGTCGTTCGTCGCTTATCGATAGACACACAGTGAGTGCACGCTATGAGACAATTTGGCTGCCTGCCAGAGCATCTGTCACCTGTCATGGCCGGTTCGTAGGCCAGCCCTAATCTAATTTCTGGCCCGCTCTATGGCATTTTGTCATTGTTTGCTTTCAAGTCGCGGTAATTTCGTTTCGTAATTGTAGACGCGGGCCAATTTCAGGCGTACAATAAAAACGAAGCTGGCAAATGCAAAAGGTCAGCTCGGTCTCCCTCTCTCTCTCTCTCTCTCTCTCTCGCTCTCCCTCATTGCCTTTGAGGTACCAATCGGTGCCAGCTGCTTGTTGTTTTTTCTTTCTCTTTCTTGTGTTTGTTGCAGCGTTTCCTAATTGGCAGGAAATTGCAATGTACCACAAATAACGAATTTTAAGTACCCCGACCTCTGGCCCATTTCCCGTGCAGCATCCGGTTGCTGCGTTACGTATACGCAGCGTATCACAGCACAGCTGTTCAATTGCCAATTAGGCGGAATTAATGTGAGTGCTATGCTGCAATTTGATTATTGTTCTATGCAGTTAGCAAATGCCAACACTGTTGCTTTATATTTCGAAGGACATTTGCCAGGCAGGTTGCAGCGATTGTTGTGTTTTGACCTACTTTGTTGCCAACGCAACGAGCCGCAAGGCGAGCCACATGGACTTGGCCTCTGACTTTAAATAAAATGTAATGCGACTTGAAGTCAAATATATGTGAATGCAGTATATTTAAAGAAAGAATTGTATTAGGATTTTTAACCTTGATATTAAATTGATATCAGTCTACAACTTGAGTTGATAAATGCTGACAGAAGTATTGCTACTGTTCAGGCATGAATATACCAATATACAAAGATAGTTTACACTCAACGATTATCAGATAATGGGATAGAAAGATGTAAAGGCCACGTGTAAAGGCAGATGAATGCTAACCCAGCCACAGGGCACGAATATGTAAGAGACGCGCGCGAAGTCTTACAAAATCAGCGATTAGAATATTTAATAGATCAACACAGTCTTAGAAACTCAGCGAATGGACACACTTGATTTAAGGAAAAAAAAAAAAACCTTAGTCTGGTTATAAAAAACCCGAACTCTGAAGACTGAAGGTCAATACAAAGCCAAAAAAACATTAAAGTCAAGTCTATTCCTCAAGCTGCTAATGCTAGTTTTTATATAGCTATTATATAAATAACAAATTTATATACTAGAATTAAATTTAATTAAATCACATTACTTTCTAGTTTCAGTATGTAAATTTTACAAAAAAAAAAAAAATAATAATAATAATAATAATGAGACATAATAAAAGAAAGTTGAAATTGTATATAGCTCGTAAATGAAATGATCGGTGTTTGCAAAAAGAGCGACGATTCTTCAACGAGTTCGTTTGCGATCAGAGAGACACCTTTTATAGTTCTTTCCGCTCTGGTTTTATCTCATCCGGTTGGTTGAGTTAAAGCAAAAAGTCTTTTGCGTATGTATTGGTTTGATGATTGCTAAATATATCATGAATTGAGTGTGTGTATGTGTGTGAGAATTTGAAGACCATTCAAATGCTCACTTGCTAATTCTCATTTTGCGAAGGATGTTCGTGAAAAGAGCGTCAGATGATAGATATCAAAACCGAATATAGCCTGCTCACGACTTGTTCGCTTGATCTCAATAATAGAGCGTGAAGAATAAAGAGGCTCACATTTTTTTAAATAGCTATACATATTTTACGGCGTTTTCTAAGCGTTACCTTGTAAGCCTATTACAAACCCTTCTAGCATGACAGCTCATAAATGAGATAAAAGCAAGGTAAATGAGAAATTAGTTGCACATTTAAATTATGTATTATAATAATTTGTTGCATATACTATATGTGTTATGTTTTATATTTTAAAAAAACATAAAAAATTAGTAGTCAAATTGAAATTTATATTTAAAAATGTTGTTGAGCTCATTTGTAAATACTTAAAAAATGTTATTTTATAGAAAAATCGCTGAAAATGAAATAAGTACGATATGTGATAAATGTGTGATTGTCTTACCTTGGCGTCCTTGGCATAATATAGATAGCTGCGCTTCAGACGAAAGTAGCGACGGCGCCAGCGTTGAAAGGACCAAGTGTGCTTCATCAGATAGCCCTCTCTGATGATGGCCGACTGCAACGAGTGGAGGAGGAGCCATAAAGAAAACGATAATAAAAGTGAGTGTGGCAGGCAATAAAAACAGTCTATTAAATTGGCCAGGCAATTAGAATGCAGCTGGAAGTCATTGGCCAAGATAACGAGTGCAGCGACATGTAGCGAGTCACGGAGCAATTGCTGGCGCTGTGTCAATATTCATTGACTGCAGGATAACAAAAGCAGCTGGCAGCGGCCGGCAATCAATTGTGCAAACAAAGGACACATACACACACACACACACGCACACGCACACCTCGTTAAGTGGACTTTTATTTGGAATTTGTGTTTGAGCGCAGAATGTGAAAGTGCGAATAAACGCTGGACAAACAGCTTTCACAGCTTCGCAATAAGCGCATTCAATTATATTGACAAATAAATCAATTGATTAGAATTTTAGCTGTGCAATCAAAACGCAATTGAACTACAACGTCGACGCACAGTCCGGTCAAGAAGGCAATGCAATTTGGCCCCGGCTAAGCGGAAACTTGTGCAATTGCAGTTGCAATACAATTTTTTCGCCTTATCCGCCACCCCAGCTTCCCTTCCCCTCAGCCCCCTTCCTTTTTTTGCGACGTTCCAGGCGGAAACGGAAATGTTTGCTTAGCTGCATTTGATTTATTGGCCTGGCCTTGACTTGCCAACTTTTTACCCAGCTCTACTTTGTGGCTTCACCAAGTGCTTTGACCATGAGAAAACTTTGTGTTTCTTTGCCATATTATCCAAGGCAATTTCAAACTATGTTTTGAAAATGTTTCTTATTTATGCCGTGCTCCTGCTGAGAATGCATAAAAGAGAGAGCAGCAGGCATATTAGAGTTATAAGGTGTTTAATTACAAAAGGCCATCAATGGAATGCGATGCTAACTAACCATCAGCAGACAATATAATATATGAGCGTATTTTTAGAGCAGATCAATAAGCAGGTATGCCAGAAATACTCCGTTATTCTAGCTATAAAATATAGACTAAGAGTTTTATCCCCTTTGCAACAAACCTGAATTTATATATTTCTATAAAAACTATATATACAGCGGTAGCTCATAATTACACATTGAATTACACATCTTTCTCTATGGGGTATTTTGGATGTAAGGTCTTAAGTAAACAAATTCCTAGCTCTAATAAGTTTTGCCATCGAAGCAGACAGACAGACGGACAGGGCTATATCGACTACGCTCACCGTTCGACCAGGAAAATACTGTATGGGGACAGTCACGCCTCATCCTACCTGTCACATACATACCACCATCACACCCATTTTAACCCATCATATTTATATAAAACTAAATAAATGGGTAAAGTAACAGCAGGTTGCATTCATGCAGCTTGCGTGTTGTTTCTTGGCTGTTTGTAAGGTCATATCGAGCTAAGGAAATTGATTTGGTATTTTTGATTACTTACACAAAAGTTTTAATTCGAAATAAATTGAAATCAGTTTATGACTTTTTGCCTTTATATCTAAGTGTATTTCAAATTATCTTTTTTGTTTGTTTGACTGTTATTTATTTTTTTTTATTTATATATTTATTTATTTTTTTTTTTTTATTGTCTAAGTCTAAGTGTATTTTAAATTATCTTTTATTTTTTTTTCTTTTAATTTTTTTTATTTATTATTATTACATATTATTATATATTAGTATTATGAGAAAGTGAGAATTTATTTAAAGTCTAAATTGTTCACAACAAATTCAACTTGAAGAAATTGAACAACAGACCGTTGAAGATATTATTATTTATTTATAGGAGTTAGGAATAACTAAGTTTAAATATACTGGCTACTGAGCCCTTCGGGTTAGACTAATCAATGAAAGTGTTATCTTTAATTCATAAAATTATAAGTGTGCTGAAATGGAGCTGAAAACTTGATACAAAGTTTACCAAGCTCCAGAAATAATACAACTATTAAGTATACGAACAATGGGTAGCATAACAACGCACATATTGCATAAGTGAAGTTTTAATTTTAAGTAAAATAAATTGCTTAACTCTGAAATCATTTTCAAGCATATTTTATTTTAAGACCTTTTTTTGATATTGGTAAAATATAAATTTCAATCACTTTGTTAAGTACTTTAGGGAAAACCCCAGGATAACATAATAAAGTTTAATAGTTTCGATGAAAATGTGCTGAATTAAATTCTTAGCCAACTTTTTTCGCTGTAGCTGACAATGATTGCAGCTACAAAGTTTCATTCTCTTTATTCTTTTTAACATAGACCAACTTTGTTCGCTTTTGTTGTTTGATGCTTGGAATGCTTGTTCACCCTAAAGAACAAAGAATGTTTTATATTTTTCAATCTAATAAATTGACAACATAAAATTCGAATTTCGAATACTTTTAAACATAAACCGTTTATGGCAAACAATTCAGAGCTGTTGGCATAGAATCAAACGTTCGAGCCTTAAAATGTTATCTTTAATGGTATATTGCTTTAAGCCTCATGGGATTCAATATTTATTAGGGCTCTGAATCCAATTTTGTTGATATATTGCTCTGCTTAATAATAAAAATATGAATTTCAATTATTATGCTATTCTATCAGATTGCCGGATGTCAACAGCGCTCACTCATTGCAGGGTTGAATGAACTTCGGGGCCTGCGGCCTTCAGTGCCCAGAATTGAAAACTTGATATTAATGTAAACCTTCTGGCTTCTCGCTGTCCGAGAATTCGTTCAGCCTTTGCTTATCTTTGCCCCTTGTTTAGTTTAACTAAAAGTCAAAGTTTTCCGGCTTTCATTTCAGATCAGCTCACATCAATCAATCATTATTTTCATTGGCCACACACACACACACACAAACACACACAATGCCTATCATGTGGCAAATCAGGCAGCATATCACGTATACGCCAAGTTGCCAACAGAGAGAACAACAACAACAACAACTACCATCATCGGGGCAACGAGCCTTATGATGATAAACGTATTTGAAATTTTCGTTAGCCGGTTATTGATTTTAAGTTACAAGCACAAAAAAAAAAAAAAAAAAAAGAAAACAACGCCGGTCCAGGCCATCGACACACAGAGATAGATACAGATACGCAGCTATAGATACGGCCACAATGAACTGGTGTATATTTCTTTTTTTTTTTGCACACCCCCCCACACACACACACACAAAGACACTTAAACACACAGATAACGTAAACATAACGTAAGCTTTTCAGTCGACTTTGCGGCTCGCTTTGATTATTTCAACTCACGCTTTGCTGCGTTATTTATTGTATTCGACTTTCCCGGGACTTTTACTTTATTTACGAACGTCGAGCACAAAGCGCAACATTAAATTACATCTGAGACGAAATATATATATATATCTATATACAAATATATATATGAAATTGCTTTTTGCAGTCACGTGAGGCTCAACAGCAGCCAATTGACTGTGTAAATAGTCGTAAATATTTTAGACGGCGCCAAAGTTTCCCATGCAACACACACACACACACACACACACATACACATATATAGCATATATATCTTGGTAGTGTGTCTGAGAGTCTTGTGTGTCTGGTTCTGAGGATACTGCGGCAAGTCCACAAGTGGCAGAGACTGTGTGCCACACAAACAATAACAAAACAGCGAGCGAACGAGCTATTTTTTTTTTTTTTTTGCGTTGCCTAAATGCTTGGCCTAAAAGAGGGCCAAGAGCAGAACGAGTTCGCCGCTGTTGAGTTAAAATTCAGCGCTGACTTTTGTCTGCCTAGATGGTGGTAATTTATTAAGTATCAATGCAAACTTTCTGAAAACAATTCATCCATTATTAAAGCTAGCCCTAAAATATGATGATACTTATAAATTATGTTTCTTTGTGACTAAATACCAAAACAGTTTAAGAGAATCTTTCTGCCTTGGGGCTTGTGATACATTGCTTTTATATCTCTGAATATAAAATATGTTTCTCTTAAGCTTGAATGTATCAAATATATTTCAATAAATATATATGAGAATTTATATAAAAATATATAAAACATGTATATGTGGCTGGGCTCTTGAAATGTAACCTTTCAATAGTATTTGAATTTGGTTTGGAATTTTTATGAATTTAGGAGAATTATTATTTCTTATTTATTTTTATCATCTGATTGTTTATAAACGATTCGTAGACTGCCTGAATGTAATTTAAGGTAATATATCTATAGAGAAGCTAGCATATTCGACGTCTCGGGGCTGGTGTATTTTTTGTATATACTTAGCTGTCTATTCATTAAATACTCAAACAAATAATGAATTAATAAAAAAAGAAATAGAAAAATTAAGAATTTTTTATATTTTTAATATAAAGTAGATTTAAATTTATATTTGAAGAAATTAAGAAATATAAGTTGATGTATTTTAAAATATTAAAAAAATGTTTTTATATGTATACATATATGTATATATATATATATTTTTTAAAATATTATATATGTAGATGAATATTTAGCATAATACTATCTATAATTAATAATTCCCTATAAGCCATATATTCGACTAAGCCAGGTTTTTTTTTTTTTTTTTTTTTTTTTTTTTTTTTTTTTGAGCGACGAAGATGTTGACGATAATAATAATTTTATTTGGTCCAGCTACGCCTATACGGCGTAGTGTGCCCTTCTCTGTTAAAAGATGATGATTGTCAGATGGGTCAGCCTAATATGAACAGCCCTGAATGTTTAAGGCAACTTGACGATACCTCAAACATCTTTCAGTGGTTTTTATATAAGTATATAAAAAAAACTTAAATTTATTACTGTCGTTTACATTTCTCTCACTTAACTTCTTATTCACTCATTTCTAAAAACAAACAAAAGACAACTTGAAAGGAATAAACCTAATTATGCATGTTGAATAAAACCTTTGTGAGGTTAATTCCTACCACCTAGCAAACTACAAACACAATTAATATCTATTGTCATTGCTACGCACATACACATAGCTACATACATTCATACATATGTATATTTATACTCATTCGCGAATATGAAATGAGTATAACGTCTTGTGGTCCGTCCGTCTATTCGCTTTGATGACTTGACTTTGAAGGCTTTGATCCCGAATCGGAAAATATATCTTGCAGCGTGAATAAGTATCCTGCCGTCGGTAACAGCCGGCATTCTAGTTTTATATTTATATTGACACGGCATGTATGTGTGTGTGTATGTCATAGATGCCGCACCACGAGTTTTGTTTTGTGCCGACGACTTCGCGACCAACTGGCATTAAGGAGCCTTTGTTGAGTGTTACCTATTGTTTTCTGATTTGACATATGTAAAGCCCTCATATGCCACGCGACCCCATGCCATCCGTCTGCCAGCATTTCTCCCGCTTATGGCGGAGCACTTGACTGCAGCTTGTCACAATCAGACTAATGTGTTTTGTGGCTAAAAAAAAAAAAAAAAAAAAAAAAAAAGAAAAGAAACAAAAGAAAAGAAAAGTTGAGCAAATAAAAATGAAAATGAAAACAAATAAATAACAAACAACGTTTTGCTGGCGAACGATAAATGCGCTCGATCCCGATATAAATTGCGTTGGAAAAACAAAAAAATATAATGATTGTTGGCGCTAGTAGGACAAGTTTCAATATGCTGCGATAAATAAAGCATGTAGACCAATTAATAATTATAGATATATATCTATTACTCAGCGGTTCAGTTCAAGTCGAGCTATAAATATTTTCAATAGCAACTGGGTTAATAGAAGCAACCCTTAGTCCGCTTCGGCGGGTGCAACGATGCGTATGATTAACACAAAATGGTCATATTATTCATACAACGCGCTGGCCTGAGCCGGAGCCCGAGCCCCAGCGCGAAGGGCAATGAATAGAGGACTGAAAAACGAATATATACTAAATATATATATGCGTGTATATGTATGTAGATATATATATACATATATACTGTATGGGCAACAGGCACAACTTAATTAAGACGCTCGTTTGGTTTTGAATGCCGCCGTGTTGCATTTTGAGGTTTTCGCATTTTTCCGTCTTTTACTTTACGGTTTTTTACTTTGCAACTATGCCAACTTTTAATTAAAATGTGTAAAGGCCAGATTTAAAAGTCCGGTTTCTCTGGACGCACAAAATTAATTTCCACGATTTTTCAATTTTTTTACGGGGCTTAGCGCTGAAACCATTTGAAAAAGTGTAATTTGAGGCAAATCATGAGCAAAGCAATTCATGAAAATCAAATAGAAAAAAGTATAATTAGAGTATAATTAATTTTATAATTTAATTGCGGCATTTTCAAGATATTTAAATTTGGAAAATTCATATAAAATACAATGATATTGTTCTTTAAATAATAAATATAATATTCAAAAAGAAAGAATAATAATTGTATTTATTAAAAATAATGGAAGTAAGAAATGACTAACTAAAATTTATATATTTATTTTTGAAGTACTTCGTGCATGAAAAAATAAATACAAATTATATTATAAAAATTTTAGTATGTAATAAATTTAATAGAACTACAAAATGTCTCTAAAGTATAGATTCAAATTTTTTTATATAAATAATGAATATTATGGTAAGCAGTGAAGAAACCTGTAATCAAGACTGCCTTAAGTGAAATGATATTCCAATAATTCTTTGCTTTTTCCCTATATACACGGAATTTCTCGAGTTTGGTATTGGTTGTCAGATCGGCGCGTCCATACATACAGAAATACAGACGAAAGAACAGACAGATTGCGCTAAATAGACTCAGAGATTCGAAATAAGATTTATACAAATATATTACCGTAAAACTAGGTTTACAAAAAGATATAGATATTATATTATTATTATTATTATATTAGAATATTTTTATATTATTTACAGAAGGCTTCGCCTTATCAATAACTGAGCTCTATTTCGTTTTAACTTTGTATGCAGCTAAGTCGACTATCGCTTTTTTAGTGGTTTTTGTGACCCCTGACTTAAGTTCGCATAATTCGCGCTGGCAATGCAATTGATGCCGTGTGTATACCCTAACAGGCAGGGCACGTTTGCTGTTGCGACCATTAAAATATTTACTAAACACTTGAACTCAACAACTGTGAGCTGACCTTTAGCCAGAGCACAAACACAAGCACAAACACTCCAATGTAGCGTTAGCCGCCCCGCCACTCCTGCCCCCCTCACCCACAGAGCTCCCATACTTCTCATCCAGTTCATATACATGTACATACGTCAGAGTGCGTCTGCATGGCAGGGCATGTAACTTCCGCTCCAGAAACTTGAGCGCTGACGTGCTGCCGCTGACGACTGCAGCGCAAAGGATAATCGACAACGAGAGGAGCAATAGCAGGAGAAGAAGAAGAAGAGCTTAATGGAATACCCACCAGATTGTTGTTGCGCTTGCTATGGGTGGACATACGTCGATGAAATATGCGCGCCGGCTCCGGCTCGATTTCGGATTCCGTCTCGGACTCCTCGCCATCGCGACTTATCGATATGATCGGTATAATGGGCACGGGGGACACGCTGCCCGAGCTGCAGGCGCTGCTCAGTCCGCTGCTCAAACTGCGCTGTCGCGGACTCAAGTTGTCCACGTGCAGCGTATTGGGTTTTAAGTTAGCCATTGTTCAGGGTTGTCGTTTAACTTTTGCTTTGTAGTAGTTGTTGTTGCTGTTGCTGTTGTTTAGGTTGTTGTTGTTGCTGTTAATATTGCTGCTGTTGCTGCTGCGAGGCAAGTTTCACGTTGCACGTTTCCAAGTTTCCACGTTTTACGTCCAATCTTTTAGCTGTCACGTTGCGGAGCTCTTTACAGTTATATAAAAGTAGAACTCTTTGTGGGGTATCCGTCAAGTAGCCGCAGGTGGCCGTTTGAGCTGCTGCTGTCGCCGCCGTCGCTGCTGCAGACGCTGCCGCCGCTTCCCATGCTGCGCTGCTTATGTAAAAGTCCACTCACACACATATACACAGTTAGTCAGAGCAACTCACTCACACACACATATACACGAGCATACTCAACATATACGCATACAGGCACGCCTTCCGTTATTTTTTGACAGTTATTGTGCGGCTGCTCTACTTCGAAAATACGTTAATTTCAATAATAAGCTTTATTATTTATAGTCTAAAGTGTATACATTTACGATGAAATTAGCAAAAATATTTGCACACCAAATTGTATGTACGTATATGTGGTATATATACTATATTGTATATTATATATATTTAATTAAGCAACACTAACTATTTTTATTTTAATTGGAAAAGCCATTAATCTAACGCACACTCATTAAGCTACACTTAGAAAAAACACTAGCAAAAACTTTCGTACACAAAAAATAGTTCATAGCTATATTCAATGTTATACAAACTTAATACTCTTTACTTTCTTTATTGAATAGTTGTACAAAAAAACGGAGTTGGTTATGCCGCCGCTGGAAATTATTGTTGAATTTTGTGTTACACTAGAATTATCGTTTTGGAGCTGGGTTATATTCCGCTGGCTGACCTGACTACGAGCTGCGAATTGCGTGCTGAGCCTGAGCTGCGCGGCGTACTGAACGAGACCGCAACCCTCACTGCTGGCGGCCGACAAACGCCGCATAGACTTAAGCTTGCTAGTACGGGCACCGGATGCCGTTATCCTTAGAGGGTTGTCGAGCTCCCAAAGAGCATATTTATACATCAAAATCCATTGGTGATAGGACATCAATACACGCAGTATTTAAACAGTCTGAAGTGAGCTCAAGCTAAACAACTGCAAGAACTTCTAATATTACTTAACTGTATATTTTTAAATTTATCCAATTACAGAAATAGTATGCTACATTTTCTATGCAATATGGAATCTTCATTTTTAGATTAGCTGGCAACCCTACACAATGAGAGCACAATAGCCTTCAACCAACAAGTTTTTGTGCTCTCTGCTTTTGCCGCAACTTTCGCACAGTAGCACAGGCCCCAGCCCCAGTTGAATATCCTCTCTCACATGCCTGCTCTCTTGCTCGCGCAGAGTGAATGTGTGTGAAAAGCTTTAGAAAGCGGCCGCCAAAAGCAAAGCTTCTAGTGATGCAAATGAAGCGAGCAAAACAAAAAGACGCAAGCCGAAGAATATGCAAAGCGTAAATGACAACAAAGTAAACAGTATGCAGGAGGCAGGTACCGAGTGAACAAAGCAACGGCGGTGCGGTTTGCCTACACAAAAGTCAGAACCCGCTAGGCAGACAGTTATGGGTTAAGCTTTCTGCTCTTGTTGTTCTTTTTTCCGGTGTTGCGCTTCGCATGGGCTTTCGTTATTTACTTTGCTGTCGACTTGCCTATGCTGTGCTGTCATTGTTATTGTTGTTGCTGCTGGTGTGTTTTGAGACATGCACATCCCGTGGGGCATTACTCTTTGCGCTTGGCTGCAGTTACACGAGAAAACCTCTATGCGAGTGCGTATGTATGTATGTATGCGGGTGTGGGTGTGCCACATGTGTGTTGTGCGCTTATTAAATTTTTAATTAGCCTTGTTTGCTTTTCATTTGTTGCGGCCGCCATTTGCCATGATCTCAAATATAACCTCAAATAAATTAAATATGTACTACGTTTTTAATTTCTGCACATAAAATTTTTTATCGAATTTCTCAGGAATCCTGAACGCTGCTATCGAACACCCAGTCATAACGATCCGCTTTTAGGGTTTCATTTCGCATGCCCTAAGTCAATGGAAATCAATTAGTTTTCGGAGAGTACTGTACCAGGACTCCATCGACTTACGCGCGGCAGCGTGAGACAGCGCCGAAAGCGCATACACTGCCTGCCCGGCGTCTTGGTGCAGGTGCGATAGAACTCATACAGAGTGGGACTTAAGAGAAAGCCGCCCCAGTTGGAGGGCACAGGCACTTTAGGCAGCCGCTGCTCGCTGAGGATCAGCGAGAGACACTTCTTGATCTTGCCGAGCAGACTGCGTTTCCTAGTTTGTATGCCGTGCATGCTGAGCTGCACCTCCCGCGGATAGCGGGCGAACTGCAGCTGCGCCTGAAAGGCGGACACCGGACTCACAGTCCCGGCAATGTGCACACTGCGCTCCAGGTGGGGCCAATACATCTGCAAGGAGACATGCGGATTGGCATGGATCTCGCCCGCCAGGCGACTGCCCAGCGCCGTGTAGAACGTCAGCCCAGAGGCGTTAATCTGCTCGACGCTGGTCATTCGCGTGACCGGCTGCCCCGCCTCATCCACCGTGGCCAAACAGGCCACACGCGCCTTGCTCTGCGGCTCCGTGTCCATGGCGATCGACAGCCAGTGATGCAAGATCAGATACGGCTCCCGGATGGCAATCCTGTTGTGCCAGCTGTCCGGCTGTGGCGCAAGTTCCGCTCTGGTTACATTCCGCATCACACACTCCCTACGGCCGCGGGGTGACAGCAAGAGCCGCGCAACTGCGACACCCCGGAGCCTCTGTCTCAAAGCCGCTCCCAGCCTCATCCGTAAGACTCACTAGAGCAACGTACCCAATAGGCTATTACTCTTTTTTTTTTTTTTAAATTTATATTTCAAATAAAATTTTGAAAGCTAACCTGAAGCTAAAATCAATTCATATCAATTGATATAATATATATGTATCTTTAAAATGGGACGAGTCGATTTAATAGAGCCTTGGGTTACGAAATACTCTACATAATACAAAAATTGTTATTTTAACTGCATTAGATATCGGGAATACTATCATCATAATATGGGGAAGTTATATACAACTTGTGTAATTGTGGTTGAAGCTAAAAGTTTGGTTACCTCTGGGGATATCTAAGGGATGGGAGTCATCAGAAAATATCAAACATGATTATTTACATAGTATTATAGATATATCAGACTGAAGATTCAAATTTGTGTTTTTTTTTGTGTTTCTTTGTCCTTACTTTCGGACTTTAGTTTTGAATGCACATCTGAAATTTTCTCTATTTTATTATCCATTTTAAATATTTTTACAATATATGTGTTCGCACATGAAAATCCATTATGATAATTAAATAATTGTATCTAAATATTTTTTTCCTTTAGTGATTTTCATAATTTTTAACTTTAGTTAACACTCCATATTTTTAACTATCCATATTAAGTTTTTTTTAATCGTCTGCATAAATTATCTGATCTTAATAACTGATTATCTTAAGATCTCTGATATTTTAACAAGTTTTACTTTTAACAAATTTTCAAGCATTTTGGAAGACATAAAAAATGCGCAGCATTTACCTCTTAGCTGTCCTCTCTCTCTCTCTATCTCTGTCTCTCTTTAAGGTGCCAATCGCTCATAGACCCATTCATTCTCGCCTTTATGAATCAGTTCTCCGTCTACCTCGTCGAGAACTCCGGGGCCACGTCGGAAGCGTATGCGATCGTGCAGGCGATCCGTTTGTCCCTGCCAGAACTCGATGAGCGATGGGCGCACCAGGTAGCCACCCCAATTGGGCAGTGGTACCTGGCCACTCTCGCCGAGCTTGGCCTTGATTTCTGCTTCCACCTCGTCCAGAGAGCTGCGCGAACGTATGCGTTGACTCTGTGGACTGGCAGCGGCTCCGATTTGACTAGCACGTGGACGCTCGTGGAAGTATTTTAGGGATGCATCCCTGGAGATTTTCTCTGCGACGCCCTCGATGCGAATGCTGCGCCGCAGGGGCAGCCAGTAGATGGCGATGGCCACATTGGCATTACAGGCAATATCCTCGGCTTTGCGACTGCCATAGTTGGTAAAGAAGGTGAAGCCCTCGGTGGTGGCCTCCTTAACCAAGACAAAACGATTGGACGGCTTGCCCTCTGCGTTTACCGTGGCCAAGGCTGCAGCATTTGGCTCAAGGATCTCCTTTGTATTGAGAGCGTCGTTTAGCCAGTCACGAAATACGACAAATGGATCTTTTATCTTAATGTTTTCCTCTAGAAAGGCATCCTTGCGCTCATGGTATTTCAAGCGCAGCGCTAAAATGTTTACGAAATAAATGTTATTAAAGATTGTAGTTAGGCCAATCTAAATCTCACCCGAAAGCTGTTCTATAGAAGCTGTTTGGCTCATCTTACGCACAATTTGCAAAAGCCTCACTGCAGTTGAGAGGGAATTGTGTAATATTTAAGTGGCGTTAGTCTTAGCTACGGTAACATCAACGTACTTGTCAAAGGTCAAATTGAAAATTGTACACCAAAGTACTTTGTTTATGATTCGCCGCAATCTAGAGATAAGTGGAACAGCTGTTTACATGCGCAGCGTTGCCAGCACGTCGATATTCCTATCGCTTAAAATATACCAGAAAAATACTAAATGCAACTGTTGTGTGAATGCGCTGCGCTGCGCTGATTAGTGGCTGAATTAAGCCCAAAAGTAGGCCAATAATATATATTTAATTATAATATAAAATATAAATATATTTATTCATTAATATTTATTAGAGGAAAAGTTCATTATAAACTTCAAAATAAGCCGCCAGATTGTGAAGAAAGAACAGCTCAGAGAGCGCATGTGTGTGAGAGAGCTTACGACATAAAGAGCGAGAGCAATTGTTGTTGTCACTTTCGTGACTTACACCGTTCACTGTTTCTATCCTGGCAGTTGCTTGACTAGCGAATGCGAGCGGAACGAGCCCACAGAACAAATTCAACACAAACGGCTGCTGGACGTGTGTGAAAGCAAAGCGCATAGAGTGCGGAGCGCAAGCGAGAAAATATAGAGAAAGGCTAAAGCGGGGCAAACACATACACACAAACACATAGACGCACAGACAGGGACACATTCACACGCGCACGCACATACACACGATTAGAGATTAATAATACACAAATAAGTTGAATACGAAAAAGCTGAAATAACAGTTATTTATAGTAAAGCGCTTGAAGTGATTGTGCGTAAAAACGCTCTGCAAATTTCTACAACAACAAAGTGGGTTAAGACGAAAGCTTTGCGTGAAAATAATTCTTTTGAGGTCGCTCGTAAAAGCATTCTACATTTTTTCTTGTCCATTGTTGTGTTGTTGCTGTTGTTGTCAGTAGTGAAAAAAGCGTTGCAGACATCGGTTGCATGTGTGTATGCGGCAGGGCAGAAGTGAAAAAATGCAGTGCAGCAGCAAAAACAAAAACGAAGCAAAGCAAATGGCTTGATAGGCAACTAAATATTTAACAATTTTTCAATTCAATTATAACATAACCAAAAACGAACGTGATATTTTAAAACTGTGGCCTGCTTTTAGCACAGTACAAAACAACAAACACAAAACACACACAGAAGCATATACACGTACAGACACACACCAACACACACGCAAACTATATAGCAATATATGCCCATTGAGTGCCTTATATCATTTGATAATAATCCACAAGGTGTCTACTATGCCGGACAGGAACTATCTGGCGTTGTTGATCTCAGCGTCGATGCGACCAAGCGCATTAAAGGTAAATTGAACTTGCGTATACCCTAACCTAACCTAATAGTCGCGGACACACACACACACATGAGTCATACAGCGTATGAGTAATAAGTTTATTACTCACACATTAAATTTGCACCGAAACACACGCATTTCAATTGCCGAAGGACACGCGCTGTTGTCCTTATTAAACATCAACCTTATCTCGTAAATAAATGTCGCCATTTAGAATGTGCTGTGCAATTAATAAATAGTTGTTGTTGCTGTTGTTGTTTTTGTTGTAGCTGCTGTCCCCGCTGAGTTGACCAGCAGCTCGTTACCGTTATTTGCACGCTGCACAGTTGGTTGTTTGCCTTGCACTCTCTCTCTTTCTCTCTGTCCCTTCCCCTCTTACTCACACTCTCACTCACTCTGTCTCTCGGTCTTGCTCTTTCATTCTTATTTTCTTGTTTTTGTTGCTGTCGTCGGTTTGTGTTTGGCGTCTGTTTTGGCATGCCGCCATTTTTTATTTATCCATGAACTCGTTAAAGGCGTGGTAAGTGCAATTCATTTGTTGTTCTTGGTGTTGTTGTTGTCGTTGTTGCTGTTGCTGTTGCTGTTGTCATCGTCATGTTTGTTGTTGTCATTGTAGATGATGACGATAAAGTTGTCCGTGTGCATTTTAATTTTGTGGTAATAAGTCTTTTCGTCTGACATTTCACTTGATTAGTTTACTGAAAAGTTGAACAGGAAGGGAGAGAGAGAGAGAGAGGGAGAGAATAATGCAATGAGGGAAATAGACAGGAAAAAGAAAACTTAATTTACGAGAATATAAAATCTATTAAGTACAGAAATATTAAAGTTCAGTTGGATTTAATTTTAAATTATTTATTTATTTATTTAAGGTGTACAAAATAAATTTTTAATCAATTTAAGATATAAAAAAGTGCATGAAAATATATTATTATAATTTGGTTAATATTATTATTATATTACTTGTTATTATTAATTTTTTATTTTTATTTTTATGTTTTATATTTTATTTGTTTAAGAAAATGCACCATAATTGACTATCAACATCATTTACTCATTATCATATTCATATGCTGATCAGCTAATTCATTCCCCTCGCTCTCTCTCTCTCTCTCTCTGTCACTTTCTCACGCACGCTCTCCATGTCCACTTATCTTATAGGCATTCATGTCACCGTCAGCGGTTATGCCAAGATACGCTGGATAAAAAAGGGATATCCGCGGGACAGCGAACGTGCCATGTGTCGTGCCTATCGATCTTACCTGTCATCGCGATCGTATGTCCTTGGCTCCTGTGCGGGGAACTCGTGCATCGATTGGCTGGCCGGCGAATATTCGTACACGTTTCACGTCATACTGCCCGATAATCTGCCCACATCCTTTGACGGCAAGTATGGTCAAATACACTATGAGATCATAACGACGATCGAGCGATCGGGTCGCTACCCGAAAGTGTTCAAGCTGCCATTTACCGTGATACAACCATTGGACCTGAACGCCGATGCCATCTACAAAGTGCGAGTTCCATATATATTAAATGTGCAGATATTTGTCTAATGTGTGGTTTCAGGTACCTCTGGAGATACTCGATCGCAAGCGCTTCTGGAGCTTTTGCTGTCCAACGGGGCCGCTCACCGTGAAGTTCTCGACCCCCTACTGCGGGTATGCGCCCGGCCAGAAGATCCATTTTGTTCTGTACATCAACAACGAGTCGTCGATCGATATAACCGAGTGCGAGGTGAAGCTGAAGCAGGAGGTTAGCTACGAGTCGCACGATCCGCAGCACGAGTATCGCTATGACAAACACCTGATAGCCTTAAAGCAGTTCGGCAACGTGTTGCGCTGGTCGCGAAAGGTGTACAGGGGATACTTGGATTTGCCCTCGATACCGCCGACATCGGTGAAGCCGACCTGCCCCATTAGCGTTAACTATTCGATTAAGATCATTGTGAATCCGACCGAGTTCCATTGGAAGCTGAAACTCAAAGTTCCGCTTACCATCGGCAGCATACCCATCATGGATGGACCCGATGCGCTGCTCCGTTTCAATCGCCAGCAGCAACAGCATCAAGTAGTTAGTCAACATTTTCAAATGTCAACGCAGCAGAACCAAAGGCCGCAGCGACCACCGCAGCGTGGCAGCCTACAGAACAGTAGCAACAATAGTAACAACAGCAACATCAACAGCAACAGTAACAACAACAACAACAACAATCAGGCAACACGGGCCATGCAACGTGCGGGTGCAATACTGCCGGCCCAATCGAGTCCCTCATCGATGCCAACGACTGCCGACCTGAGGCCAATGGCCACCATGCCAGCGATATTAGTGACCAGCGATAGCGATAGTCCCCCAGATTATATACCCATGAGTAAGAAAATATATAGCTAATTATATATTATGTTTCTTTAACAGAAACTGTGATAACATAGACTGTCAAAAATTCTATTTGATATTGATTTAGATATCAGCTGGATGCACATCTATATCTAGCCATAATAGTGGAGGTTTATTTCTTTGCAGTATATATCTTTTATAAGGACCTCGATTTGAATGATGTCCAAAAGAATTTGATTTTATTATCTTGTATATATGAAAGATTTATAAATAAGCTTAAATTAATTTGCATAAAATGTTCCATTCGTAATAATGTAGATCCAATATTAATTACCCTAGATATTTATGAGTAAAGTGAATATTATAGAATAGTGTTATACATACATGTCTAATGAATTGAAATGCTGAATTTTTATTTTTATAAGAACAAATTTTCTTCTGAATATCTATAAAATTTTGCAGCTTATAAATTGAGTCGCGATGTCTTAGTATACGGCCAAACTGATCTAGGTTAGTTAAGCAATAAATGTAAGTCAGGACTAAAGCACAGTTAAAACATATTGATGCTCAAAAAGTTTTGTATGCTTTAGATTTTAAGACTATACCGATCCCCTTAACAGATCAGAAAACATAAAACAGCAAAAGGATAGCATAGCTGAGAAGAATAGAAAGAAAACACTCCAATCAAACAATTGATTAGAGTGCGTTCTATCTATTCTCATATAATAACTATTCAAATTAATACAACCTACATATATAAAATGCATTTATATACTTTTATACTATACCCAAATTTTACATAGTCATTTCTAATTCATTTCTTTTTTACCATTTTCTAGTGCCGCCCTCGTACGAAGATGCCATGGCCTTGAGCGAAAAGTTTAGCGATGATATCGAATTCCTGACAAATGTTAGCATGAGCAGCATTTTGTCCGCTCAGGGCGACGTAACAAGTGAGCGTGAGCCCTTTAAACCGCGTTACCCGGTCTATTACGATTACGAGACACCGACCATACCGCCCGGTAGTGATGATTCCACTGAATCCGACACATAAACCTAAATTGTTATTAAAAAAAAAAAAAAAAAAAAAAACGCCAAAAAAAAAGAACTGTTAAAACAAAATGAAAATCGAAAGCAAAGCTAAACAAATTGAATGGCTGAGTGGCATTTTATTCAAATCTCTTTCTTTTATTCCATTTTCACAGTAGTTAGACAAATTTTCTCTATAAGCTTAAGAACTGCAAGGCGTTGGGTAAAAGTAAAGATGCCTTTGACAATGTCCGATAGTTCATAGATTAATTAACTTGTAAAGATGTACATAATAGGAAGTCAAATAATTCCAATTGTCTGCTTCGAGAATAAGAATTTAATTTTTGAAGAATTTATACACATCATATAGTCAAATATGTATTATAAGCCATATCTATCTAATAACCTATTAAGAGCTTTCTGATTCGCTCCGATTGTCCCATCTGTCCTGATCTTGAGCCCCAACGCCTTGCAAATGACATTTTATTCCTTTAATTAAAATGTTTGAGCTGCACGTCCTATTTATATACAAATATATATTTAAATTTCTGATAAATATTCCATAACAATATCTATTCATATCTCAATAATAAGTATGTATGTTTGCTCTGTTGTTTGATTTTATTCATTAAAAACTTTTGAATTGATAAACCAACTCTATACATATATATGATATATAAATTATAAGAACATTGACAAATTATTAAATTTGTGCTTAGTAACTAAGTTGATAATATATAATTGAAATGATATATTTTAATATGCAATAAGCGTTTATTCACTTTCATTAATTAGTTTTGCATTTTTATTCTGGAAACAAATTACTTCTAGCCTTAAGCCACACCCAAGGGTTTCACAAATATACTCAATTTGTAAATTTATTCTTTTGTTACCGCTTCCTCCCAAATTTCGTGCCCCTATACATGCTTCATTTGAACAACAACAACAGAGACGCTCTACAGTGAAAGCTCGAACACGCAGATACGGTACGCTGTGCCACAGGAAACGGATGAGAATGGAACGAACGAACAAGGAACAGCTGATCTATTGAACCGCGAGAAAAAGTGACGCAGAATGCAAAAGCAAAACAAACACAAACATATTTAATCAAAATCTCAAAGTCGAATTAATCGAATTAAAAGAAATTGCAAAAAAATTCTTGGCGCATATTATATACTAGTTTATAAGTCTGATCTGGATTAACCATAGATAACTGTTTTGCAAACCGGATATATAAAACATATATACAATGTAGAGCGCATAAATTAATCAAAATCTATTCAACATTCTGTTGAGCAATAAAAAGAAGTTTATTTTTTTTCTTTTCCATATTTTTTTAAATTCTTTGACTCGATTTCCAGTGCAAGAAAAAATTTCTTTATTTTCTTATTTTCCAAAGCAATCCTAAAAATGTATTGATCTAGCGCAGTCAGCATACGATACTTACCATATAAAGTAATGAACGTAGTTAATCCATACTTAGTCAAAACTCTTAGGCCTAAGCGAAATATTTAAACAATTGCACAATTTTACCAAAAACAACAACAACAACAACAAACTTAACATTTTCAATGTTTATAATATCTATTAATGAAATTTACACTTGAAATTAGCCAAGAATTAGATTATATAATTAAATTTTGAATTGATTTTATGTCCAAGTCCAAGTCCAAATTAAATTAAAAGTACTTTTCAATGTAATTGTCTGGTATTTACCTATCTATCTAGCACATCATCATCGTAAATATATATAAAGTGTCTAAATTTAGTTATATCTACGACAAATTTGAAGAACATGTCAGAATCAAACTATTCTATGTTTATAAACTCGTGTATACTTCCCCTGATTTGTAACCAGTCTAACCAGTAACTAATATTAAGAAAATATTCTGTCTTCAATTAACTCAAATTTCAACCAAAATGGAGCAATATATATAAATATATATTATTATATGTATATCCAAATTTATGTGTTTTGGATTTTTTTCTTTGTATGCAATTAATTTTAATTGAGCTCAATGAACTAGAGGGAATTCTGGAATATATCGTTGGTAAAGTGAGGTACTTGCTTTCAGGTAAAAACAATTATATATGTACATAGCTACTTATCTTAATCTATATAAAAATACTAAGAGGCTTATTTAGGCTGCTATAAAATTTGATTAATGGGTGTTTATACTCATTCACGAAAGTGAATCATTATACTCATTCACGAAAGTGAATCAGTATATTGGTTTTGTGCAATGTCCGTCTTGCTGTCCCTCCGTCTGTCCGTCTGTCCGTATGAACGCAATCTATTTCGGCGCTATTGAAGCTAGAGACTTGAAATTTGGAACACATACTCGTGTATATCTCCGATTTATAAAGTGTTAAAATTTTCCCGATCCGCCCTCTAGGGGCGTGGCAAATCGGAAAATGCATTTTCCGATATACCAGAAATCATGTTAGTTAAAGAGCTAGAAAGCTGAAATTTGGTATGTAGGTCCGCGTTGACCACCCAAGATCACGAGCTATGGCGGATATATCTACGCCCATTGGGGGCGTGGCAAATCGGATAAAACTGTATCTCCTAAAGTTGTAAACCTAGAATGCTGAAATTTTGCACGTCAGCTAATGGTATGACTCTATAAAGTCTGAAAATTATAAGTCTATGCCCATTGGGGGCGTGGCAAATCGGACCTGAAGATATAGTGATTTTTTAAATTCTCCTATATTTTGGACAGAGACCTCAAATTTTGTATATATACTCGGACTGATCACCCAAGACCAAAAAGTTTTGTCGGATATATGTCCGCCCACAGGGGGCGTGGCAAACCACAAAAGTTTATATCTCCTAAAGTATAATAGCTAGAAGCTTTAAATTTGGATAGTTGAGTTACTGGTAGCCTCCTCTATCGATTCCCCAAAAATAATTTTTACGCCTCTTTAGGGGCGTGGCATATCGAAAAATACCCTGTAATTTTCACATTTTTTGAGGTTAAGCATTCAAACTTTGCAGTTAGGGTACCGTTATCTCTTTCTAAAAACTGACCAAAAATGAGGTGTCTACGCCCAGTTGGGGCGTGGCAAATTGGAAAAACCTGTATAATCTACAGTATTAGAGCAAAACTTAACTACTAAATTGTTGATGGGATGTGAATGAGTTTCCGCAGTCGGTAACGCCCGACTGCAACGTTCTTACTTGTTTTATTTGATTTTGATGACAAATCTCTAGGTATAGACATTAGCATTATACATTATATGTAATATAGAGCTTGTAAAAAATTTGTTCTCAATAATTTAAGATTATTATTTATTGAAGTGTCTATTGAATTTCTACCTTTCTATATATATTTACACCAAGTAGTATATATTTTTTTTTTTTAAATACAGAGTAGTCTCAAGTATATCACATGATTAGCCATGCAATAGGTAAGCCGAATTGCTGGCCTGCTTTATAATGTTTATATATATTAATTTATTTTAAGTTTGTTTCAACAGTAGCTTCAATATATCAATGCACAATTGTTCCAAGCTAGCGGAGAGCTCACGAATAAGTAATTGGATATCTGAGTGCACTTAAACATGTGCAAGTGGTGCCCATGAATTGGAGCTTTTCGGAACTCGGAAATTTGAGAAACAGAACCTCTATTGAATATCTAGGTGTGCTGCAATACATGTAAACGATACCTTCGAATGGGAACCTTTGGAGCTCAGAAAAAAGAGAAACTGAACAGAGAAACTAAAAATTTCATATGTGAGCGTTATTGGCAAAGAGAAGTCACAATGAAATTTTATAAAAATTTAAGTAAAAAAAATTAATAAATAAAAATAAATTTAATAATAAATAAAAAAATTGAATTAAAAATACATTTTGTTTTTAATATAAGTAGTATTTAATATTAATGCTTATTAATTATAAATTTTATAATATTTTTAATTTTTTTGAATTTTTTAATATAATTAATTTTCTTTAAAGAGTGAAAGAAATAAAATTTATTAATATTTAGTTTTTTTTTCAATGCTCAATTTTGTTTTAAATTTATAATATAATAATTTTCCTTAAAAAGTGAAAGATACAACATTTTTTACCATTTATTTTTTTTATATATTTTATAATTATTTTTATTATTATTTAACACTTACTATTACTACCTCGGAACTGGTATTAACTTATAAATTAGTTATATATTAAAATGATTAAATTACAATAAAAGAAGTGACGATAATATAATTAACATTCATATTCATTAATAATATTTTTATTCTGTTATTTATATTTATTTGCTAACATATTTATATCTTTTTATATTTCATGTGCTTTGTAATGTGAAGTAGTTTATCATATAAATTATCTCTCAAATATATATTTAACACTCCCATATCTAGATATGAGAATGAGAAGCTCAACAGAAAATTTATGAAAATATCTGGCATGCTTTGCCATATACGTCTCTGACTTTGATACCTGATTATCAGAGTATAGTCCCATTCATTTTATTTTAGATTTTGTATAATCCAGGTATTTTTTTTACGCAAAAAATTTTTAGATATTTTTAGATTTTCCAGACTATTTTTTTTTTTTACTGCATCGTACGAGTTTCGTGAAAAACAAGTGCACACACCATTCGAACCAGTTTGCTCAAACGAATTCAAGTTGGCAGCTCAACAGGTTGGGAAAAATAAGAGAAAACAACTGTGCGGCTAATCTCCATAGATATATAAAATAATAAAAGAGAATAAAATTCTTATAAATAATAACGTGCAGGGACTTGCGGCGCTATCGTGAACTCAAATTTATCTTTAGCTTTTTATAATTTCATAAACAATTGAAAAAACAACAACAACAAGAAAACATTTGCCAAAGTTGTTGCCGTTGTCGTGTGTCGTTTCCCGTTTGCCGCTGCCACTCGCGCTTCGTCTGCTGAGCAGCTCGCACTTGAATTTTATCGCGTGCCGCAAATTGGCAAAGTTGTTTTCAGGCCGGAATACCCTGTAATTCGCAGCATGCCCATTAACTGTGAAATTTGTTTGTCGCGCATTTCGGCGGTCTACCACACCGGCGAACACATTACGGGCTGGATAGATCTGGTCGCCGGCAAAAAGCCTCTGCATGTGGAAGGTGAGTTCAATAAGCAAATGCCTTTAGCGTGTTGACATGCAACTGATAGCGATGCGATGATAACGATGCGATACTCCACTTGAACAGCGCTCAGTATCAGCTTGCGGTGCCACAGCACAGTTGGCTGGCAGGAGGTGGACCGCAGCTTGCCACAGATCGTGCACAATGACAGCGAGGCGATCAGGGAGCCCGACTACATTAACTACACAGGCGACAAATTGTACTTGGACCAGACGCAGCAACTGCTGCAGGGTATCTACCTGCTTCCGCGTGGCATTAAGCGCTGCATCTTCGACTTCCAGCTGCCAAGCGAGTTGCCCGGCATGTGCCGCCTGCCCCTGGGCCGCACCAGTTACACGCTGCAAGTGCGCTTGCAACGCTACAGCAAGCACCACAAGATCTACCAGAAGAGTTTGTGTGTGAAGCAGCGCATTGAACTACGCGACTTGAGGCCGGCCACCAGCTCAAGTGTGAGCTTGAGGCTGCACTTGTCGCGCAGCAGCTACGTGCCCGGCCAGCGCATTGCCTTCGAGGTGCAACCCACAGAGCCTGCCACATGCCGCACCTGCCTCTGCCAGGTGATTACCTATCGCAGCGAACATCCCGCTGTTAAAGAGAAGCGCGTGCAGCGCGTACTCGACGAGAGCTCCGACTCGGCTGGCGTCCTCCATCTGCCGCTCTGCACGCCCCTTATGACGCAGCTGCAAGGCGAGCCCATTGAGATCTCCTACTTTGTGGAGGCAGGCAGCAACCTCTGCAGGCAGCCATTGCGCTTGCCTCTGTGGGTAGGCACTGTGGCGCCACCTATTGACGCCCCAGCGGACGCTCGAACGGACAGTCCGGCGCTCGGATACGACAATTTGGGTAAGTGTTTGCCAAAAACAGACGCAGGTCCTAACGATGTTTACACAACTGCTATGCTCTGCTTCAGAGTCTTAGCTTTGATACCCTGAGACCATCGAAAATTCTAATTGAGGGTATAATAGCTACGGAAAAATTTAGTAAGAGTAGGTGTAGCAATCGCCATAAAATATACATACATATTATTGCCCTGTCTGTCAGTCCGCCTGCTCGTCTGTCCGTCCGTCTGTGCATATATAGAACTGAAGCCTTAAATGCATATTCGTGAATGCCCTACTAAACAGGATTTTAGAATTTTGCTTCCCTATAACTGCTCTGATTTATTAATAATCGATAAAAATCGATATTTTTATTTGGTAAGAGTTGAGACTTTCTAGTACTCTTCCTTTTGCCCATAAATTGATATATGGAGTATAGTAGTACTTCAAATATAAATATAAATATTTTAAATAACTAGAGCGAACAATGCACACATGGATATCATCATTATGCCCAGAAAATTTCATTACAAAAGTGCATATCGAACAGAAGTTTATAAACAATTAATTTCCCATATGCACAGCCCGCGTAGAATGCGCACTATATATTATTATATATATGCAAATATGGATGTGTATGTGAATGTGTGCGCACGCTGTTTGTATAATATACATATATATCGATATCAATATCAGCACATTGCAATGTTTAGGGTATTTCCTAGTCGGGCAGCACCAACTTGAAGACTTCAACTCATTTTAACTTGAAGTGAAAAGCTAAGAGGAGGCATTTTATATATTGATCATCCATTTTAGTTTTCTCCCTCTTTACTTTTTTAAATGTATTTACTTAATTAGGTTAAACATAATCAATCATAGCCGCATATTCATCTAAGTACTCAGGCTCTAATTCTTAAAGCCGTCAAAAATTTCATATACAGTTAGTCAAAAATTATTAATTATTAATTTTTGAATCAATTAATTTAACTACATAATTGTTTTACCTTTACCCAAGTACTATTCATTTATTATTAATTTCTGTTATTCATTCTATTTATTATTATCTAAATGTAGATATTTTTCATTATTTTAAATTATATAATATTCATTTAACTATGATGATAAACTATTCAATATTCATTTAACTATATTGCCATATATAACTATGTATCATATTATATTATTCATTCAATTACTTTTTAAGAGCACTCACTCTTCGACAATGATATATTCATGGCTTTTCTGTTTTCAATCTATTTTCCAGCTTTGAATGAAAACGATTCACTTGGTGCAACGATCTGTGAGCGGCCGCGCCACAGTTTTCACATAAGATCCCGGCGATCAAAAGCGAAAGGCCAGGGCGACCACCTGCGAAAGCTGCGACGCCCGAAGAAACCGTCGTACGTGCTTTTAGCTTGGCGCTACTTTTCTGATATTCTGTTTCCCCGCAATTAACGACATGGTTGTGAGCTCGAAGTATAAAATCATTTGAAATAGGTACGTGCAGGCTTTTAAATAAATCTGGGTGAAATGAAATTGAATTGCTGAGAATATATTTATATTTTTGCCGATAATATATGTATGTATGTATACTATCTAGCCGGGGCGGGAATTTAGTTATATATCGGGGTAAATTTATAGAAGAGCTGCATATTTGCACAGAAGTTATCAACGCTGGATTTATCAACGCCTGCGTCAGCAAATCAAACTTCATTGATTAAATTTCATTGACAGTCCAGTTCGTATATATAAAACAACCCATAGAATCTCTGCTATATAAACAACTTGGACTAAAACGTGAGCAAATCATTAAATATATTATTTTTTTTTTTTTTACCGATTTTAAAGATTGGATTTATTTATATTTATTTCGAAAAAAATTAGATATTAATAATCGTAATTGTTATAAATTAATGCTAATAAAAATAAATATACTTAAAAATGTGATGATAATTTTTTGAGAGGTAGTAATTTATTATAATTTTTTTGTTTTCACTTTTGCTGCCGATGTAGGTAAACATATTTTTAAGTTTTCACTCTGATCGGACGGCTTTTGCTGCCTGCCACTTCGGCTGCCTTCCGCCTTCTATGTCCTCTGAGTACTGATCAGTGCTCCTATGACCTCCGTGGACTACCCTCCAAACATCATTGCTTTTGCTCTTTTGCTTAATTCTATTTATTGTCCCTCTAAGATTGACCCTTATTCTTTATAGAATTTAGTGTTTATCTACATAGCTCAAACAGGATCTTCGTATCTCAAGTCTCTAAAGCAAAAAAATAAAAACTATGAAGAAATTGCAGCTTTGCTCTAAAGCAAATTTCCATACGTTGTCACTCCTGTGTGATAAGGCTCTACAATGCTGCAAGTTCATTCCATTTTTATCCTAGTTCGTGGTCAGTCGAATAGCTCATGGCAAATATATATTATTCTTCTTATATAATATCACCAAATACTTTGCTCTATAATTGAGTTCCCAAAACAAAACAATCGTTGCTATTGGAAGTTAACGGATAGGCAACATCAACCAATTATCATTAGATAAAGATATTAACACAGCGTAAATGAAAATGATAGTAGTTAGAGTAATAAGAATAATAATAATAATCATTTGGCGACAATAATGACATCAATAATGAGAACGATAGTAGTTATATGTAGTACTAATAATAATAAAATCATGGCGACGATAATGAGAATGAAGGAGACAAAAATAATGACAATATGAATAATGAGAAATATTGTATTGTATTAATAATGACTATAATTTTGTTGATGCAAGCATAATATTCAAAAAATAAAAAAAAATAAAATAAAATAAAATAAAAATAAAATCATATAGATAGACTATAATTTTAATCATACAAGTATAATATTTTAAAAATATATATAAAAAAAAAAATAAAAAAATGAAGGACTAAAAATAAAAAATATTAAGAACTATAATTCTGATCATGCAGGTATAATATTTAAAATAATAATTCAAATAGAACTTATATTTAAGTAATGCGTTTTTAGTTTTATAGAGCAATAATTGATTTGCCATTGATTTTTATGAGTTCATAAATATGCCGCAGGCCCATTCCATTCCCGTTCGCAGCCCTTGTCGCTGGGCCCTAATCAAATACGCGAAGCCATATTGTTGGAACGGGTCAAGGCGAGCCGCCCATTGCCGCAATTATCTACAGTAAATTGAGTAAAGCATCGGAGGCTATCAGAGTGGAGCTGCGCCAGTGCTCGCCGAGGCTGTAAACTCTTGTTGCCACATTTTGTGGCAGCATTGTTGGCTAGCCAAATGGCGTGCAGCTCATTTGAATCGGGCCTTCGCATATTGCCGCCAAAATGCGTGCAGGCCGAGAGTTGAGAATTGAGGAATATGAGAAACAGAGAGACGCTGACCTCGTCATGGAGGCGCAGTTGATGTCGCCTTATTTTTGTTTTTCTGTTTTTGTTTTTTTATTTTTTTTTTTTTTTTTTTTTTTTTTTTTGGGCGCCGCTTAAACAAAGAAACTGAAAGGGCCGCAAGCAACAAAGCGTTGCTGCGTTTGGTAACATTTTTTCTTGCTTTGACCAGAAGCAGACAGTAGACGGTTACACAGACGCATGGCGCCAACTTATTGATTCGCGCCCCCATTCCAACTTTCCCTTTGGCACAAGCTGAAAGGATGCTGCGAGCGAACGAGAGGGCAACACAGGACGCACAACAAAGGCGCAGGGCTCAGTGCGCGTCTGGCTGTGCGAAAGTTCGGTTGAGCTTTCATTTTCCTTGTCGTACACTGTGTCTGTTCCTTGTTCCGTGTAATGTGTGCAGTGCATTCGGGCCTTTGTTAGCCATGCCCACCACCTGTGTTTTTCAGCTGGATCGCCTGAATCCCGTCTACAACAGCGGCGAATACATCAGCGGACGCATTCTGCTACGCACGGATAAGGTGAAGCGCGTGAATGGTGCGTCGCCGTCGCCATCGCCAATCTCCGAAACAAACTCTCAATTTCGCTCCTTGCAGCTGTCTACGTTACACTCGAGGGCGAGGCCAAGGTGCAGTGGTCCATGAGCGGCAAGAGTGAGACATCCAACTATTCGGGCCACCAGCAGTATCTGCACACACGCACCAACGTCTTCGACAACTCGCTGTTCCGGGCCGGAGTGCATGTCTATGTGCTCACATTGCGTATACCACCCGATTGCCCGAGCAGCTGCAAGGGCCCCTATGGCTACATAGCCTACAATATATCGCTGACCATCGACAAGCCCTGGGGCTTCGATGAGGTCTTCCGCAAGCCCATCATGGTGGTCCAAACATTGGATCTCAACTATAACTCGGAGTTTGCGGTACGTCTTTTCATTACGCTTTGAATCTGTAGCCAAGTGACGTGGCCCGAGAAAAATGTATGAACTTAATTTGTGCTCAAATGTGTCGCATAAGTGTGCGTAGGCGTTTACTGTGGTAATTCATACGAGATGAAGAAATTTGTATGTAAATTGTATGCAGTGCGAGAATATTCTAAAGAGTCGCAGCAATATGCCATTTAGTGATAGAGGGATAATTTCTTATGAACTATTAGCTAGAAATAGAGAAGTGATAAATAGTCGTGGATACTGTTGATATTTATGATGTAGGAAATTCTTCAATGATATAAGTATATTATTGTATTGTTTAATATAGAATTTGTATTCAAATCTAAGACAAAAACTTGATAAACAACATTTTTAGATATGTTTAAAAAAAAGTAACTACATACTTCATCTAATTTTTATTTAACAAAAAATCAGATTTGATTTCATTGAATTCAACCTTAAGAATTTCAAGTTAAGCTAGCTCAAGTATTTGGCGTTGCTGGATTTGAAAATCTTCATCTGTTTTGCTGCTATCTCTATAATATTTCATTCTCTTAGCTGCAGAGTGTTTTGTTAATTCTCTTTGTTATTGTTTTGTCATTTAATGGTCTATGAAAAATTAATTTATGGAGTTGTAAATTAGTATTCAATTTAGGCAATTAGCACTGTTAACAACAGCAGTTGGATTTGCAGCTGTAAAATGGGGAGTTTCACTCCCCCTATGATCACTCTCCATTGCTCAGAGTCTCATTTAGCTAAGTGCGCCAAATGATAGAATTGATGGAAGAAAATCAAACGAAACTAAACCTAAGATGCGAATAATCACTTGCATTGATGTACCCAAATTGCTTTATATTAAGTCTTGAGCTTAATCTGAATTCAACCTTTTCCATTGGACAGTTATCAAAGTTATATTTATTATTTTATTTATAAACTGAATTTTTCTGATTTTAGCTAAGTTAAGGGGATGCGAATAGTTTAGCTTATTCAAAATATTTGCAATATTTGATAAGGTTGCTGTGTGACTGGGTATATAATTTATTTATTTTTTTTTTTTTTTCAAATTTAATTCTACATTTATAATATATAAAAGGCAATATTAGAGCAATGTTTAAGCATGAGCATGATATTCTTCCCCAAAGTTAAAACGATCGAGCACAGGGTACAGGCTAAGAACAACAATTGCCATATTGCTCGCCGTGCGAGACCATGGAAAGAATTAAAACATAAGTTAAGAACTTTACAGCTTTAAATAACAGGCAATTTTGAGTTGAGTATTATTCGTAGCTTTATCTGACGGCAGCATAGATTAGATTAGCTGCAGTTTATCCACTCATATCAAATCCCTTTTGGCCTTATCGAAAGAGAAATAGCTACAAATGTTCTATCTGTTCTATTTGCATAGCACAATAATTTAAATTCATGGTCTTAAGTCTGCAAATAGAATAAATAAATAAGAGCAAGAGCTGCACAATTGCTGAATCGCCGAATCACTAATCGAAGTACAACTGCTCGCATTTTGTTTCAATTTAGCAATCTCTTTGTTCGTCATTTGCTCAGCTGCTTTGTGCAAACAAAAGAAAAGCGAGCGCTTAATAAAAACTAAAAATAAAAATAATTATTCCCGCTCTTGCTAGTTCACCTCCAACTGCGCTCACACAATTTAAAAGCCTCACTTTGCAGGTGCCTATTAAGTAAATCCAATCTAATGAATGCAGCTTAAAGATGAATCATGGGGCGGTAGTTATATTCCCTGAATTACTACTACATTAAAGACTTCAACATTTGACACGTCATATACAAATCACATTTGAAGCCATACACTCATGCACTCTATTTTGTTTGGTATTAGCCAACCATTCAGAAGAGTACTGAAAAGACATCTTTGGTTTACTAATTCTATTATTCCTTACTCATAGACAACATATAACCTTTGCATCTCTCATGATTTCTGCGAGCTTCATCTCTGTCATCCCTTAAACCTACTCAACTGCCTCCTTTTATATCAACCCCCTTTCTCCCTTTAGCTGCCTGTCAAGGATGAGAACATCAAATACCTCTGCCATTGGCCATGTGTTTCGGGACCCATTAGCTCCAGCCTGGCGCTGCCCGCCTCCGGCTTTACGCCGCTGCAGGAGGTGCCCTTCACCGTGGAGATCGACAACCAATCGCCGCACTACGATATTATTGCCTTGGAGGTGTCCATAAAGCAGCACTTCGTCTTCCTCTCGCGCAAGCCCGTCAAACGCAATTTCTACACGAAGACCCTCTGCAAGGAGATCGTCACGGATCGCACCCTGCGCCTGTCCAAGCGCATGTACGAGTCGAGCATTGTTGTGCCCATGGACACGCCCCGCTCCACGCTGAACCCCAACTACATTGTCTTCCTGCACTACACGCTGCAGGTGAAGCTGAAGACCGGCTACTTCCACTACGACACGGATCTCTCCGTGCCCATTGTGGTGGGCACGACGCCACTGCAGCATCTGCATGTCAGCACCTGCACCCGGCAGCCGGGTCGACGCACGCCCACGTCGGAGCGCCAACGCCTCATTGAGCGGGTACAGCCACGCCCCGCCACGGTCCAGGAGGAGACGCCACAGGAGGCGGCTGCCGAGGAGATTCATCAGACACTGGAGGACGACGAGCCGCCCTCGTATGACAGTTGCTGTGAGTGAAGAAGATACTCTATCTATCTCTCTCTCTCTATCTCTCTCTTTCATTGCAGTGCCGCCTTCGTTTAGCTTCGCTACTCTGGCTGGCAGCCAGCAGACGCTGGAGAGCCAACCGCGCATACATCTGCCCAAATTTCCGGGCTTTAGCACGCTGCTGGGCACAGCGCCGGCGCATGAACAGATCCTGGAGGACTCCGGTCTGGACATGCATTACTATCGCTCCTATGGCTCGCTCGACACGGATCACACGGGCCGCAGCCTAGATACCTTCGGCTCGCTGTGCGGCCCCCTGTCCGAGCAGGGCGAAGCGGAGCAGCAGGAGCAGGAGCAACGACTGGATGCCACGGCCCAGGTGCATCAGGCCGAGCATCAATTTTAAATGCAAGTGTCTTAAAGCCCATTGGGGGCATAATACGTAAGATTGTACTAGACATAAGTGTTTAGAGCTAAGTAATCTAATTATATTTTCGAGTGTATCATAATCCGTCTTATTGGAAGCTCTCATAGCTCATATATTATATATAATATATATGTATTATATATACATATATATTAACTATACTTTACTGCCATCCAAAATTGAAATTTCATTAAATCGAACTTATTGAGTGCCAGAACGAAATTTACAAAATATTATTCTATTGCTTTTTACATGCATACTTTTGATTCAATTAGACTATTACAAATAAACATGTATGTATGTGTATGCATGTATCTAGATCTAAATGTAGCTATATCTAATATTTTTGAAATAAGACTTGTGCGTTCATAAGTGGACAATAAATACGTATACAAAGACAAGTTCTTAATTCTTAGCTGTTTTACGAATTTATTTTAATTTATAAATTCTAATACAATTAATAATTATATTAACAATACTTTTTGGTAATAATAACAATGACAACAATTATAATAATGAATAATTATCAACAACAATTTATTGATAATGATTTAAAAACCATTAATGATGCTCCTGATCGATAAAACTATGTAAAATGCTCCAGATGATTGTTATTTATATATGTATATATACATATTTAGAAATAAAAGTGGGGCCAAAGAGTTCTGAGGCTAACGTGGAACAGAATTTTTTTTTTTTAATCAAATTTGACTGATATTATTATACTTCCCATCGAGATGAGTATAATGAAAATAGTGATGACACATTTTTGTTAAAATTTGAATAGTATGATTTCTGTTCGGCCCCAAAATATGGGTCAGTTTTCTGTCTTCATCTTCAGCGATAGGTCTAGAGAATATTTATATAGATATATAGGGAAGCAATTCGATGAGCTATTTTCACAGTTTTGTCTGCGTTTTCATTGATTTTGACATGATCTTTGATACCCATTTAGCCTCAGTTATTTCGATTAGCTTAAAATATTGTTATTTAAATCATATTACTTAATTCTTTAATATTATGAAATTAATTTAATAAAAAAAATATTTTGGTTCTAGATAAAGAAATTAAAAAGTATATTTTGTATTTTCACACTGAGGTTTCGATTTAATATTTTATTTATTTATATTTTTTTTTTATTTATTAAAATTATTTTAATTACTGTTTATGTGATATATGCGCGTTGGTTCAGCAAAATTATTTATCAAAAATTATGTTTATTTTCTGAAAGTTGTCTTTGATTTTTGTTGATGGATTTTCTAGTGGACTTCCACATATACATACATATATAAATATATTCATATCTATAGTTTATTTATGAGCCCATTTGAATTCGCCTATACGTATGCAACGCTTGGCACCTGAGACAGTTATTTAATTAAATTTGCCAATTGTTTACGACAAGTAAATGCTTGGCGCTTGCACCGGCAGCAGGGCCGCGATGAATTGCGATTAGATAAACACACTAAATAACAGAACAGTCGATATGGCCAACACCGATAAGGCCCGTTTAATAGGCCGAGCTATTGTCAACAAAACGGCAGACAACGCGCGCGAGTCGAACGGTGCTGAGTTCCGAAAATGAGCCAAATCTGCGACATCCAATTGGAGAGGCCCAGTGGGGTCTACCATGCCGGCGAGACGGTAAATGGTCACATATACCTAACTCTGACGGAGCGTGCCCTAATCAAAGGTGAGTCACGGTCAAAACCAGCGACAGGGCATGATTCATGTATAGATCTAATCAAACTCATCACAACTAATCAATAGATAAGGAAATGCATAATGTGAAGTGAAGTGAAGTGAAGATGGGCATATTGTAGCTGGAGATTATAAACTATAAATATATACAAATATTTATATATTATTCGAAAAATATCTATATATTATAGCTACACATATTTACAATTCCCTAACTTAAAGACATGGCATAAAGCTCAAAATGTAAATATATATAATCAATTAAAGCAGCTGCTGATAAAGCGCTAAATAGTGATAAGTTCGAAATATTTTTGTATGTCCAAACAAACAAAAAAATGTTGAAAAGTACATTGGCTTGGTAAATTCCCAGCTCTCTGAGGTATTTCATATTGCAGTATGAGAGCTTAGCTAAAGCTGAGTTCAGCTGCTCTAAATGCGCACACAGGTGGGTCAAGGTACGACCAGAGTAATCCCCCGACGTTTTTTGCTGATTTACCGGACATAGTTCAGGCCATTTTTCCTCAATCTTACCTGAACTTCGAACGAATAGTTCTCACATTTCTGCACAGTCTTAACATTAGGAGTTTCAAGGGTCGGCCGACATAAAAATATTTGTGTATTGAATTAATTATTCTTTATTCTTTTTAATTCTACAATATTTCTTGTTTATTTTAATTACAATCTTACATTAAGTGTTGAAATTCTCTTGCTAGATAAATGACAAATCAATGTTTTTCTGTTTTTAGATTAACTATTTATAGTTTTAGATCCTGAAAGTTTTGAGTATAAAAATCTGATTAGCAATATAATACATTTTTATGTTTTACATCAAATTTATATAGTTTTAGATCACATACAACTCTGATGAATAGTGAATAAGCTCATAAAAATACTAAACTTTTTCCTAATTACTTTCAGCCATTTTTCTGGAGTCGAATGGCTACGCATCAACGTCATGGGACACGCCAAGGAAATTAAAAAAGGCTAAGCCGGGCAGTGAGCCAGAAGCCAGGCCGTACCTTCACTTTGGCCAGCGTGTCGATTACTTTGCCAAGGTAGATTACTTTGTGGGTTCGGAGGCGGCGCTGCCGCAGCTGATGGCTGCTGGTGCCTATCGCTACGACTTTAGTGTGCAGCTGCCCGAGGGTTGCCCCAGCAGCTTCGAGGGGGCGCATGGCCAAATACGCTACACGCTGCAGCTGCATGTGCAGCGGGGCGGGGAGCAGCCAACGGAACCGGCCTACGTGCGGCAGCTGCAGCTGATTGGGCGTGACCCGAGTCAAGAGGCGCAACAGCTGCAGCAGCTGGGCGAGCTGCCCTGCGAGGTGAGCGCCGTCGAGCTTCGACCGGCATTGAAGTTCTGGCACCGTCCCCTGCAGCTGCACCTCGATGTGCCCCGGTCGAGCTACGAACCTGGCATGGGCATCTCGGTGCACGTGCAGCTGCACAATGGCCAGCAGCTGCTCCTGCAGCAGATCACCTACAAGCTGAACCAGGTGACCACCTATCTGGGCAGCCAGCAGGATAGACCCAAGCGCAAGGCCCAGCAGGTGGATCGTCGCCCGCTGATCAGCAGCAGTCATCAGTTAGTCACGTGTCCGCGCAACGAGCTGCTCAACTTCCAGCACCTGCACACGCTCCAAGTGCCACAGACGCCGCCCACGATGGGGGCGAACGTTTGCGACTGCCTGCACCTCGGCTACGAGCTGGAAGTTCTGGTGCAGACCAAGAATCCCCAACGTTATATCTCAGCTCGAATGCCCATCATCATATATTCGGCGCCCAGCCCAAAACAGGAGTTGGCCTTTTCCCAGCCAGTAGGCATCGCCAGTGCTCCGAGTCGAACCCCGGAGCCAAACAGCTTCGCCATGGCTGCTCCTCAGCTGACCGCCTCCATGAGCTCGTTGCGTAAGTTCCGATTTACATAAAACAAACATACATATATAGTATAACTATTAATCTATTAATTATTTTATAGCTTCTCATTTTCGTGAGGCCGAGTTCATGATAGCCACCAATCTGAACAAGGATAAGCACGCCATGTCCGGGGAACAGATGGATTTTAGACCCCGTTATCTCTACTACGAAATGGATCATGTTGAAGTGGAACAAATCTCTAGATCTACAGAAAATATGATATAATAATAATAATATATAACTATATAATATTAAATTAAATATTTTTATTTTTTAACTTATTAAATAATTTATTAAAAATCTTATTTGAAAATTATTTAAGTTATATTACTAAATAGTGACTTATCACTTTTTCAATAATAATAAAAAAATATTTAATAATTATGTATCTGTTTTTGTTTAATTTAATTTAATTTAACTTAAAGTTAATTTATTAAATTTGATAATTTAAAATATTTCGTTATTTCAAAAAAAAAAAAAAATAAATAAATAAAAATAAAAAATAAATAAATAAATAAATAAAACAATGAAACATTTATTTATTGAAATTGTAGAGATTCTTCTCAATTAAAAATAATAAAGGATATTGTTCATGAGCATGCATGAACATGGAAATATGAGAACCCTCTACGCACTCATCAGCGAGCTTGCATAAAAATTGATAACATGTGTGGACTGTCTAAATAAACAGATAAACTATGACCCTGACCGTCAGCGACAATAAAAAGTATGTAAGAGACGGGCGCTGAGCCTTACAACTCTAAAATATTGAAATGTATTATCTATACAAGTATTTATTGGCAACAACTATATATTTATGTAGGTTTATGTATGTACATAAATTATATTCATAATACGCCATAAGCATTGAGTTGGGAAGCAATCCAAGGAAAGTTGAATCCTGATTTTAGGATCGCAGGACACATAATATGCATATATACGCTAAAACAAAAGCGAAATCTACACTTTTGGGACCACAGCATTAGGTGTGAGTGATCGCTAAAAAGCAAAACAACCGAAGAAAGTAATATGTAGGCAAGTATTCCTAGGAATTTCCTTTTTTCTTCTAAGTGATTCTATTAAGTATTTTTTCTATGTATTTCCTCTAAGTATGCGATCCAAGTATTTCTTCAAAGTATTTCTTCTAAGCAATTCTTTTAAAAATTTCCTTTGCTATTTTCCGCTATGTTATTCTCCCAACGTATTTCCTCCAAGTATATTCTCTAAGTCTTTAATGCTTAGCTGAACGATCATTGTATATGTGTTCCAATGCGAACACTCTCTACCGCTTCGAGCATTCTAGTTTCGTTTTACTCAAATATAAATAGCAGATGAATACTTTTGCATACATATTGACATTTTAAATGATATTCTACAGCTCTCCTTCATCATTTGCTTTTGTTAGGCAGACAGAGAGACAAACGGAAAGACCGACTGTGGGATAGACAGGGAGACAGATATAGAGATATCCAGACAAACACGAAAAGACGCGCATATTAAAATCCGAATTAATTAATTACATGCTAATAGTCTAAATAGTTTATTTTTAATGCTTAGTATATATAATTCTTATTATATTATTTATAATTATTGGATGTCGGTAGTTTCTTCTGTTCTATAGTTCGCACAGCCTGTCTCAGTTTCATGCAATTCAATGAATTTATTATCAATTGGCTAGAGTCCTCTCAAATATATCTAGCCTGAACTAGGCTAAATTAGCACCACTGCTCGCGTCACCAATTTTCTATACATTTTGTTGGTGGTTTAAGCAACGAGAATTTGGTTAACAGCCGTGTGATAGGTAAGACGTTAAGCCACATATATTTTTATGCAAATAATAATAATTCTTTGGTATACATAATTTATAGCTGTATACAATATGTATATATAACTGATATTCACAATAAATCTGAGGCTTTGAGTATATGCATTAAGCACTATGAAGTACAGGTATCCAAATATCCTTAAGGAGTATTTAATAATTAATAAGCCCTTGGTTGATTTACTCTCTGGCAGGTGCAGTGGGTAGTTGCAATGCATTCGCAGGTGGAGCCGAGGGCATTGCGAAGTCGGTGTACATGGGATAGCGGGGTATAAAGTCATCGGTGCGATTGTGCTCATTCACATCCGTATCCACAAATTTGTCTGTTATATTCGTGGCCTGCTCGAATGAGGGCGGCTCTGCATGAGAGTGAGGAAGAGATTTATTAGAAACCGAAGCTAGTTAATAGAAGAAATACTTACTGCAAGTGTCGTAGCTTGGTGGCAGATCGGCGGCAGCACCTGCGGGCGTATCTGGCGTCTGGGGTATCCAAGTGGCGACATTGTTGGGGTTTTCGGCACTCTGAGCCAGAGGGATAGTGCCAATTATAATGGGCGTCTCGATTTCCGAGTCTGTGTGGCAGTCTCCCGTTTTAATGGCCATTTTAATCTTGTAGGACACGTCGATGATGCGCTGATTCCGGGAAGAGGGCGGAACAGGAGGTATTACTAGACTGGCATTAATTAAACGCTTGGACAAACGCCGCACACGCTCCGCCTGATACTCCGAGCTGAGAGTGTTTTTATGTGTTCTTGATTTATGAGTGGGCGTACTAGCCCGGAATTCATAGATCTGAATCAAGGATACTTCGATGCCTTCCAAATCGTAGCCATGTGACTGATTATCTATATGCAGCACATAGTGTATGCGCTGACCTGGCGCATAGCCGCCAAAGGGTATAGTGAGAGTTGAGATGACGGGGCCCGAGGAACAGGGCCAGCAGCAAAAGTACTTGATGTCTTCGCTCTTCAGAGGCACCTGCAAAGGTTAAATATAAATCAATAAGATAAGGGCTTAGCTAAAGACCTAGGGTACTCACTAGCATTTCGGGATACATGTTCAGATTGTAGGTCTGCAGCACGGTCAGGGGCTGCTTGAACTCGTTGTTGAAACGCCAGGAGCGATCGACCACGAGCGATACTTCGTAGGCGATCTTGCCATATTTCTCTACGCACGACGTAGGACACTCCAGTGGAAGGGGTATGCAGAAGGTATAGGTGTGCGTGCCAGCTGGCAATTCGCCCTCGCCAAACACATCGGTTCGAGAGTGCAAATATTGTTCATCGCCACGAAAGTATTCCGTATATGACTGTGATTTACCGTTAACAGTTCGAGTGCGATGCTCCTCCCAGCGCACCTTCGCCGCTCCCTCGAACAAGATGTAGACAGCTGCAGAGATAAGAGCAGAAATTACAACAGTTAAACATGAGTGAGCTGTGCAAGAAATTGCTAAGCTTCGATATTTCACAATTTACGCTTTGTGCTGTCATTCTGCCGGCTGAGTTTGTTTGCGTGACTCGCACAGTGGTATTGCTACGTTCAATATTGGAATACTTTTAGCTCAGTCTACATTCCCATACATTTATTAATTATTATAAGATATCGAATTTTTTTTTGTTTTTGTTTTTTTTTGTTTTTGTTTTCTTTTTGGTATAAATCATTTTTTAAAATACATTACTAATAATGATACATAATATAAAAAATTTATATTAAAATTGTATACAACTTTTTATTTTCTTTGATATTAGAGCGCACTGTAAAACGCAGTATATGATGAGTATAATTTGAAACTCATTTCTATTCATCTATATGTATATTATTTACTCTTCTTCTTCTTTATTTATTATTTTGGTGAAAAATATGTACAAATGTCTGACAGTGAAATAACTGTATAATAATCCAGGGAGCAGTCCATATAATACAACAAACGAAGCACGCCCAAATGATGCTAATGAATTTCAAATGGAAAAAAAAAAAAATTGCTCATATTTCTTTCATATTATCAAAATTTCAATTGATTGTCATTGAAGTCTGAGCATTCACAATAGAAATTACGACAGTATAATATGAGTCAATAATTGTCAAGGAAATCTTATCAAGTACAAAAATCACAGTAGAGATAGTATTGTGTAATTTCAAGTGTTATTAATATCTGCTCATTCATTATCTTAAAGTCTTAGTAAGTTAAGTTGATAGTTATAGTAGTTCATTTGATTAGCTAACAAGAAGTTCAAGATCTCATTTACAATAAGCAGTGAGCGAATAAGAGACATTCTCAATACTTTACCATTAACAGACTTGTTGCTTGTCGTTGTAAAATTAATGCGCCCATTGATAGTCTCGCCGCTGTAGTAAACCGGATTGGGTCGATCGAATTCGAAAACACAATTTGAAGGCATATCGAAAATCCAATTTTATTTCTATGGCACTGTATTAAATTTACACTTAATTAGATAAATAACATGTTTTACGAAACATATCAAAAGTCACTGGAATACCAAGTATAAATGGACCACAGCACGCGACACGAAAACGCTGAAAAATGGACCGCAGCAACGAACAGTCAAAACACAAATAAATTGCCTGAATACAAAATGCGATGAAAATAAAATTTCTGAGAGCCGCCGAGAGCTGAAGCAGTGTGACATCATCAACGAGTGAGCGAACCAAAACAAAAACGAAAACAACAGCTCATGAGCGAGTCTCTCAAAGCTGGTGGATTCGCAACTGTTAGAGAACGGCAGAAAGCGAAAGAGAGAGCAATTTCTGAAAAGCTTTGGTGCTGCTCGCGTCAGCTTTGGCACAGCTTTTCTATGTGTTTTGTTGTCGCCATCATTTAGCTTCGACGAACAAGCTGATGTAAACACAAACAGAGGATGTTACATTTGGGTAACAGCTGTGTGATAACTAAAGAGAGACAGATGTATGTATGCACATATGTATGTATGTAAGAGCTGACTTGTTGCTCTCGGCTAATAAATGTAATGAATATACGAACTTCATATATTAAACTTTTAAAGATTTTTATACCCTGAACCCATTGGAAATGGGAAATCAGGGTATAATGGTTTTTGTGAAAAGTATGTAACAGGCAGAAGGAGGCGTGGCAGACCCCACAAAGTATATATATTCTTGATCAGCGCGACGAGCTGAGTCGATATAGCCCTGTCCGTCTGTCCGTCCGTCCGTCCGTCCGTATGAGTGCGTCGATCTCAGAAGTTACAAGAGCTAGAGAGCTCAAATTTGGCATGCATACTCGTGTTTACCATACGCAGTACGAGTTTTCTTTATTTTTTCGATAAATCATCCGATAACTTTTTTTATCGAGAATAATCGAAAAATTGATTTTGTTTTTTCAGCCTCATTAGAATACTATCAGACCTGAAGACTTCAAATTTTGTGCTGTATATAAATTTAATGGATACAAAGATTTTGTAATTTACAGATTTTGGATACCACGCCCCCTTCGTCCCCAATTTGTAAAAAACGCATTTCAAATACTAGGTACTTGTGCTTTGGAATGTACATACATTTTAACCATATGATTACGTTCTGAAAGTTTCATTAAGATTGTACGTCTAGAAATTAAGTTATTCAACAAATAAATTCGTATAATATTGTCCACATTGCAGCGCAGCCCAAGCGCAGTCGCTGCTTACTGTGCCGTCAGCAGAGCGCGTTGTTATACGTGCGTCTGGATGCATGTATACGTATGTGTGCATAGAAGAAGTGAAGAATGATTAGAATATCAACTTGGAGGGTTCAGGGTATCTCCTAGTCGAGTAGTCTCGACTAGAGCCTTCTTACTTGTTTATTTTAAATATTTCTATTAATATGTATAATTTAGAATGGATATGTGTTAGTAGATAAGACCTCTCCTTCTGAATGACTTTAGCTTTCTGAACTTCATATTGTTTTTGTTTATTTATCAAACAGCGTGGGATGCTTCGTAAACAATCTGGGCTGGGCAATAAAACAATAATACGCTGATTAGCATCTACATACATAAATACTGTCGTGATTAGATATTGCATTTGATAAGCTCCTAAATCTGCACAGGCGATTCCACGAATTGTATTTCATCAACGCTCGACTGGTCCTGGGCCAACTGCTTTTTATCCGCACGTTGTTCGCCTCTATGGCGTCGGCGACGGCGTCTTTTCTGCGGCGGATTTGGTGGGGGACTCTGGAATGTATCCACATCGAAGACGGGATAGCGCGGCGTGAACCGAGCCGCCTCACTAACCGTATTGACATCCGTATCGGCAATATCGGCGGTCATGAACATGGCTTGCTCGTAGGTGGGTGGGGCTGTAAAAATATTATGGGTGGATTTTAAGATTAAAGAGATATTGTTAATAGAAGTAGAGAATATATTTAACATACGCAGTTCGGGTGCTAGGTCATCTCCGATCTCGAACTCATCGTCCCCATCCTCGGGCAGTTCATAGTCCTCTAGCTCCTCAGTAAGCTCGTAGCTGGGATTATTGACACCTGCCGCCAGTTCCATGGCCCTGGCCGAGGTACAGGGCAAGTCCCGTGGCACGGCCGCAATGCCAAATGTAGTGGGCGGCCCCGCCGTCACCAGCGGCACATTGCCAATGGTGATGGGTATGATGACTTTTGGATTGGCCATCATCCAGTTCATCACGGCCACGATGCGCACCTCGTACGAGACGCGAACCACCTTGCTGAGGTGCTCGCAGGTGGGCGCTGTGGCCGGTATCCGCAGCGTTTCAGTATACGACTTCTGGCAGTGGTGGAGCACGCCTCCACTCTCGCGCTTGGCCAGCAGAATCTTCTCGGAGACGATTTGCATCGTAGGCACGTCGGATGTGTACGTGGCGTGCAGATAGAGCATGATCATGAGCTTCCTGCAGTCGCTGCTGGAATCGTTGCGTACATCCGCATGGACCAGCATAAACTGGCCGGGCACATATCCCTGCTGCTGCAGCGTGACCTTTATGTGGACGGGCTTGGTTTGCATGAGGCAAAAGTATTCTATGCTCTCACTGCTAGCCGGCTCGCGCAGCATTTTATCCTCCTGGTTCAGGTCGAGCAGCTTGAGCACGGTGAAGCCCACGTTGGTGGTGCGATTGGAGGCGCCGGGCCGTATGAACATCACCTTGGCCAAGTAGCGTATGTGTCCGTAGAGGCCCTCAAACGAGGACGGGCAATGGCTGGGTATGGGGCAGGCAAAGGTGTACGTATAGCTGCCAGCTTCAATGGTGGTCGTCGGCGCCTGCTCCGAGCCCATCAGATATGTGGTCGAGGCTATGTAATCCTCTCGGCCCATAAAATACCGATTGCGTCCCGGACGGTACTGGTTTGTGGGCACGACACGCCCATGCTTGCGACGCCACTGAGCCTGTGCATAGCCGCTGATTTGTAGTTTAATTCCTAGAAGAATCAAGGGCAAATATGTAATTATTGTCTACACGGAAAGTTCAGCACTAGCTAAGAAAATAAGATAAAATCTAAGCAATCAAATAGTAAAATATTAAAGTTAATAATTCATTGCGCAGCAAGAAAAGTTTTTCTGTTTGATTAACAAAATAAACAAAGCTTAATGAAAGCAGATTTCATGAGAAGTAAAATATTTTTTGGGTCTGTAGATTATTTTCATTAAAATAATATAATCAAAGAGTTAATTATTAAATAAATGGTTTTTAAATGCTATCCATAAATATCTCTGAGGAGCCATTAAAATGACTAGTAAGTTTTGGCATTTCCTGATGCACACCTACACCTTATCACCAGGTAGATCCCCCTGAGCATTTATTGAATAATACAAACATTTGTTTCGCTTTCTTTTGCAAATCGATTAACTCTCTGCGGTTTATCAGTAAATTACGAATATAATGGGACAAAAAGGCAAAACGAAAACAAAGAATTAAAGAAACAAGTAAAATAAATACAAACACAGATTAGATAAGAGTGCAAAAAAAATTAAAATAAAATAAACTCTATATACTAAGTAATTTGTGTAGTAAAAAATTAAAAAAAGTCTTTATGCTCGGAATGTTGCGGGCTACAAATTGTTGGACATACCTCGCAGTTTCTTGGTCTTATTCAAATTGATGATCACCTTCCCGGTAACCACTTGGCCAGTAAAATATGTTCCATGCTCATTCTGATCGAAGGTTATTTGGCAATTATTGGACATTGCAGTTGTTTGAGTACTTTGAGGGCTAAGAGCGCTCCGAACCCGCTCGCTGCTAAATGTTAACTGATTAAGCTTTTTTTTAGGGGCTTCTAACATGATATAATAACTGCCAAGTGCTATCTTATCTAACAAAAAAAAAAAAAAAAAAAAAAAAAAAACAACTTTTAGTGATATATTTATATATAGACTTATAATCCCAAACGTGGATGCCTCAGTCTGAGTGAGAGTCTATGGAGACAGTGAGAGAGAGTCTATGGATGACTTTCATGTCTTGTGTATAATAAAATCTCTAAGAAGTTTCATGTCTTAAAATATTTGTATATAATATTTCAGTCTTTCATAAATCAAGTTTAATAATAATATTAAATTTATTATCTATACACAATTTTTTATCTCTACCGCTTGACTTATCTAAAATATTTCTTGAGTTTCGCTTACACATGTCAAATGTAACTAAATTTTGTTCGTATTTTGCTCTTCGTTTTTCATAAATAAGCACATAATTCCAATATTTTCCTATAGATAAGATAAATGTAGACAATTCCGGTTAGGTGTCCAAATAAAAAGAAAAGTTTTAAATTCAGTACTTTGTTTGCCAGCTAAGCGAAACGCAGACAAAATCAAAGACATATTATAAATATTTACTGTTAATCTGTGCAATTAAAAGGTCTCGCTACGACAATGGTTCTTGGCTGTGAAATTGACTTTAAAGATAATCCGTTTGGCATCTACTATGCGGGTCAAGTGATTTCGGGCAGTGTATCATTGAATGCCGATAAAGAAAAGCTAGTCAAGTGTAAGTTTGTAAAATTGTATAACAATAAATCATAAAATATTTCTAAAAGAAAACGTGATACAATTAAAAACAGTCGGGTGATACTGACTGCCGAATACCCATTCAGGGCCCCTGCTGTCTATCCAGCAAACGGACATTGAACAAAACCAATGTACTTATTTCATATTCGTGACGGTGTACAAAAATGATTCATGCTTATTTCTTGCTATATGTTAATATATGTACTTTTGTTATCTGAATCTCAGTTTTATGATATATATTATTTTTATATATGTATGTATAAAATGTAATTAAGTATTTTTATAAATTTTTAAAAGCCATAGTTAGTTGATACAGAAAGATAGTCATATTTAACCATAAGTATAGAAATCAATTTTAATTTGTATTTTATTTAATTTTGTGTCTAAACATTTTCAGCTATAATTCTAAAGATAAGAGGCTTTGCCATGACATACTGGACAGAAGATGAAACCGATGTGGAAAATAAGGGCACAGAAGAAAGTTATAGTGGACACGAGGACTATATTCATTCGAAGGTGGATCTTTTGGTGGCTGAGGGAACAAGTGAGTCTCTCTAATTGTACAATTCTATAATTGTATATTTTCTGTATAAATTCTGGTATACATTTCGTTGACAGATGTTGCTCTTAAGCCTGGCACCCATGTCTATAATTTTGTTTGTCAAATACCCGCTGTATGCCCCTCGTCCTTTGAGGGCACTCACGGTCGTGTGCGCTATACAGTTACGGTCAAGGTCATTAGGCCCTGGAAATTCGATCTGACCTACTCGCGTCCGTTTACCGTGCTGAAAGTTATGGATCTCAACAGGGAAGGTCTTTTCCTCAATGTAAGTTAAATACGTATCAATAAGTATTTATGAACAAATCAGATATAAGGATGAGGAGAAGCAAGTAAGCAATATTGAGTTGGGTTAGAAAATAGAGAGGAGTAAGACTGAAAGCTTTATTAATCTGTCTTAAAACTTTTCGCCTGTTTATAAATATATTATATTATTTTTATATAATTATTAATTTTTTTTGGCGCAACTCAACATTATAATTTAGATATACCAAGTTGTAAGTTTATGCTATATACAGTAAATTTCGGTTATAACGATGCTCAAGGGATTGTCGTTATCAACGGTAGTCGCATATAAGTTTTCGCCTCACTCGGAGTCGATATAACCGGATTCCACTTTTTTTATATAAAATATTTCACTCAGTAAACTATTTCTTAAAGATATCACCTTGGGCTACATTTCATATTTTGCATAGACACCTGCCCAGTCGGAGGATCAGAAGACCTATAACTGCTGGCCCTGCCGTTCGCAGCCGTTGCGGCTGCAATTGTCGCTGCCGCAGCGCGGCTTCGTGCCTGGCCAGACGATACCTGTGGCCGTGCTGATCACGAACGACAGTCACATAGGCGTGGAGCAGATTGAGGCCAGTTTGGTGATGATGGTGCTCTACTACAGCCAGCACAGTGTGGATACGATCAGCGAGCGATTCTTGGTCAGCAAGAAGCAGGGCGAGGGCGTCACCAGAAACAGCAAGAAGCAGTACGTCTTTGAGCTGCCCGTGCCTGCAACGCCGCCCACCTGCTTCGACTTGTGCCGCATCATACAGATTGCCTATCAGGTGGTAGTCGAGACAAAAGTCAAGGGCTGGCACATCAACGAGCGCGTGCACCTGCCCGTGACCATTGGCAATGTGCCATTGAACAAGCAACTGACCCAACAGCCTCGCTCCATCCCAGTGGAAGTGGAAGTTGTCGCCCAGCAGCTGGACGAGAAGGCGCTGGTGCTGGTGGATGATGCCGCAGCTGCTGCAATGCCAGCCCCTGTCAATCCCTGGGCAGCCGATGCTACTATAGGTGGGTCAATGGAGAACCAAAAATATTCTATATATCTCAAATGTCTTGCTCATTTTACAGATCCGCCCAGCTACGCAGAGGCGGTGCACATACGCGCTGGACCCATTAAGTCCAACATTAAGCCCCCAGCTAATCGATCGAGAAAGAGCCAAGAGTTCAGTCCCTCGACAACGCAGACCAAGGAAAACTGCGCCTTTACCCCGCTCTATGCTGTATTCCACATAAACGGCGAGACTGCCAAATTGCAAGACATCGATCGTAGCACCTGGATCTGAGTATGTTAGATAGAATTGTTTACTCGACAACTAATTGAATGGTAAATAAAAAAAAAATTGTATAAGAGAAACAGTGTACGAGGCTTGGTTTAGATTTTAGTTTTAAGGAAAATACATTTTTGTTTATCAAACAGTTTTGTCTGGGTTTGTTTTCGTGTAATTACCGAAGCAATGCACACCTCGACTAGGGTTCTATACAGTTCCACGCACGAGCCCGCAATGTTTATTTCACATATCACATAGCCCATATATATACCATATATGCCTATTTATAGCTGTGTAATACCATAACATACCATCCCATATTGAATATCATAACTTTTCAATTTTAAAAGTTTTTTTTTTATACCCTGAACCTATTGAAAATGGGAAATCAGGGTATAATGGTTTTGTTAAATGTGTGTAACAAGCAGAAGGAGGCCTGGCAGACCCCATAAAATATATATATATTCTTGATCAGGGCGACGAGCTGAGTTGATTTAGCTCTGTCCGTTCATCCGTCTGTCCGTCTGTTGGATTGTTGCCGACTGTACAATACTCATTCACGCTGCCTACGCTGCCAGATCTCTAGTGGTTGGGAGAGAAAATTGAGAAAATCTTGGCACATTATAAATGGAGGGTATGTATATGTATGTATATCAATTCCAAATTTCAAATATTGAGCTTCAATAGTTGCGAAATAGAAATAGGCGGATGAACAGTAAAATTGACATTGTATTAAAAAAAATATATATATATATAATCTGTTGGCGTTCGTGAATGAGTATAAAAAATACGCTATGTTTAGCACTGGAAAAAAGGTAAGTTTATATTCTATACTCTACTTTCTAAAAGACGCAGAAACTCTTTAAATATGTACATACATGTGGAATATAAATTTCAATTTAATTTCTAGAGTAATCTGTACATACCAAAAAGTGTGGTCCCCAGTTTTAGATGCCGTCATTGTTGCTGCCTAGATCTAACAGAAGCCAACTAATATTTCCGTTCGGACAGCTTGGTAGTTTTTAAGAACAGCTGCTCGAAATGGTCCTTAGAGTATGCAGTAGTCGCATAGTTTTGTCTCGACATATAAACTAGAGAGCTACAAGCTATCCTTGTAAACATATGATATAATATAAATATATTTAAATATAAAATATTAAATTTAATGGCTATACTTTGTTTATTTTTTCTTTTTTTTTTACAAATTTTTTTATTTATTTATAATGTTTTGTTTTTTTTTTTTTTTTTTTTTTTTTTTGTTTATTCAATTATATATAATATGCTCTTTAATTTAGGCCGAAATCAAAATCTTTTTTTTAGTGTGGTGTGCAGTGCACTTGGGCAGAATATTTAATTTACAACTGACACGACGATAAGATAAAAATTGTGGAGGCAAAAAAAAAAAAAAAAAATCTATTTATATGTATTAAAAAAAAAAAGCTGCAAAAGTTTGTTCCACTCTCAGTTCGTTTCAAACGCGGCGCGCGGAATGTTTGGCATTTGCCAAACTTGTTGCCGTTATGTGAGAAATAAATAGCGAACCGCTTGGGCTTTAATTACAATCCAATCAGTCGTGTTTTGGACTCCGATAGCGACAAGTGCGAAGAGCAGCGAGTCGGTGGCGCAGTAATACTTACAATTACATTTACAGTTATCGGCCCGATAACATTGGGACTATACATATATAATGGGCATTACCTGTATAATCAACTTCGATAACAATCCCCATGGCACCTACTTTGCGGGTCAAGTGGTGTCGGGCCAAATTACCCTCAAACTAGACAAAATCAAACTGGTTAAAGGTAAATATAGAAATTCCAACTAAATATAAACTCGTGCGAAATTGTCTTTACTTTTTTTTCACCTTTAAATCTGCCATCAAGCGTGTTCTTCCCCATGACTCATTCTTATCTTATCGGCAGCTACATGTATAACAGTTGTTAAATGTGCAAATTTCGGCATGTTAGACCCAGGCAATAGAAAATGATTCATGTGCATTCTTTCTCTTACATGGCACGCGTTAAATTCGGTAGCTGATGGCATCAATCAGCGGTCAATAATCATTATTAAAATAATCAAACAAAAATACCCTTTTGAATATAAGCAAAGACTTAATTAGTTATCAGTCTAT